GGGGGCGTTGGAGGGGGTCCGATTTGGGGTTTGGGAGGGGAGGAAGGGGGGGAGGGGGTGGGGGAGGGGGTGGAGAACGCTGTGCTGCAGTACGTTTGGGAAGCGGATCGTTGTGCTGGAGTCAGGAAGGGAGGGATGATCAGGTGTATTGCGCCTGTTCTGTGCGCTAGTGAGCGGGCAGCGGGAACCAGATATGGGGAATGGCGTACACCGCAATCAGGAAGAAATCGTACTTCGGACACCACTCCACCGCTCCCACAGGCCCTTCAAACCCTGCTTCCCAAACACATTTCCCGACTTCCGCCTCCCAGCACCTGACCGTACCCGCCTCGTCCCCCGTCACAAGCCACGTCCCGTCCATGCTCCAGCTTACAGCGCGCACGCGCGCCTGGTGGGGGAAGACGACGTTTTGCGCTATGGGGAATGGGCGGAGCTCGTTGACGCTCGGCAGATGGGGGACGAGTGACTCGGGGTCGATGTTGAGCTTTACACGCCGGACGCGGGGGGCGAGGTAGAGGTCTAGCTGGCGGGAATACCGTTCTGAGATAAACTGGTCGTACCCCGGCACTTGGCGTAACGTGTCGTGCGATCGGGGGAGGTAGTCTTCTTCCCTCTCGGAGGGATCCTGTGCTTCCCACTCTTTTTTCTCCCCATCTGTAGGCAGGTACTCTTTTGGCGGGTTGTAGGATTCCGAGTGCGTCGGCAGCCGGACCTTGGGCGCGACGAGCGGCGGCGGGTGCGCGTCGTTCGCCTCGTCCCCCGTGTTCCACAACGCATAGAACTGCGGCTGCTGGGGCGCAGCAGGTCCATGAGGTGTGATCTTCCCCTGCCGGATAGCGCGCACGATCTTCATCACCTTCTTGTGCTCCCACTTACTGGGCACGAACCGGCCCTTCGGCTCCGGCCTCCCACTGAGGGGCATGCTCCTCTCCTTCCCTGGACCGGTGAACCATTCAACCATAGGCTCGTACGGGTCGTATTCCGCATCGGGGTTCTCCGCGCGCGCAAGACGGCCAATGATGTCCAGTTCTTCTGGGGAGAGCTGCACTTGCGCACCAGTACGCTTGTCCACCGCCGTGCTCCAAGACGTGGGATCCTCGACCGTAGCGAGGAACTTGTCCAGCTCGTCGCCCTTCGCAGGCCGCAGCACCCGTTTCCCATAAATATCATACCCAATGTGTGGCAGGTCGTCGTACCATTCCAGAGGGACGTTTCCGATCCGATTCGGGTCTTCCTCCGTGCTCGAGTCGCTGTCATACACGGGGTCGATGTCCGGGTAGACCTTTTTCGGGAAACCGGTTATGTCCGACTGGACGATTTTGGGAGCGCGTGGGTCGGCAGCGCGATGCTCGGTCGGGTCGCTCTCGTCGGGCTTTTCGCTGTATTTTGCGATGAGGCGATCTAGTCGAGCGTCTGGGTCTTGCTCGTCGTCCTCGTCTTCTTCAGAATCTTCTTCTTCCTCATCACTTTCGTCTTCTGGATCGTTGTCCTCTTCATCCTCCTCATCGACTGTGTCACTCCTCGGATCCAGCTCAGGGAACGGTTCTCCCTCCCCGTCGCTACTCTCCGTCCCTTCACTCTCCTCCGGATCACTCAGCGTCAAATTGATGGGTCCCAACACCGTCCCCTCATCCTTCTCCTCCACATCTCTTACTTTTCGTTTCGTGCCATTCACCGCAGGCACTCGAACAGCAGCAGCAGCAGCCATAGAGCAAAGACGTTGTCTACTTCGAAGCAAACCAGGGTCCTGGGCCAGAAAAATACCAGCGGTTAATTTCCACGTGCGGTGGCTGACGGAATCTAAGTCTAATCCAACTTCACGCGCTCTCCTGCCGCCAAGGGTCCACTTTCGTATTGTCCGCATAGTCGCCATCCTCTCCTCCTCGTCCGCTGGTCGCTGCTGTTCTATTTCCTCCTCGTTTGTAGCGAAATGGCTTATGGAGGAGACGAAGTTAACGCCATCGTCCTTGATATGGGCACCTACTCTACCCGTATAGGATACGCGGGAGAGGACCTGCCAAAGGTCAACATGCCTGCCACCTATGGATCGGTGCTCGATCCGGACACGGGCCTCTTCAAGCACTATGTTGGGGATGAGGGGGTGAACATCTACCGGCCGAAGATGCGTTTGAGTAACCCGATGCGGGAGGGAATGAGTGAGCCCGGGTTATTCTGCCGTCCTGATCTTCGCTGACGATGGACAGTTTATGAGTGGAACGCGGTTGAGGATGTGTTGAACTACGCATTTCATAGCCAGCTACGGTGTAACACCGCCGATCATCCTATCCTCTTCACCGAACCCCCATGGAACAACAAGTGGAACCGCGAGCATCTGGCCGAGATCTTGTTCGAGAAGTACCAAATACCTGCCACCTTCGTCGTGAACAACGCTGTCTGCTCTGCATTTTCCGCTGGGAAGGGGACTGCGCTGGTCGTAGATGTTGGGCAGGACATATCCTCTGTCACTCCTGTTGTAGATGGTTACGCGCTTACGAAAAGTATGTGCCCCGCTTGTCTACCTGTGACAGCCTTGACTGAATGCTCCACTAGGCATCCAACGCCAGCCGATCGGCATGTCCCTCCTCACGAACACCGCCTACATGACCCTGACTACTCCCACTCTTGAACGAGTCGACGCAATAGAGCTACACTCCCATCAACTCATCTCCTCGAAGAAGCCGATGGGGTACAACGCCAAGCCGATATACACCCTTCGGCAGGACCGGCTGCTAAACGCCGATCAGTCATGGAGGAACCAGATGTCGCGCAGGGTAGTAGAAGACTGGATCGAGGTGTGTAGCGGGGCGCTAGAGACGACCTTCACCGTTGAGTGCGTGACCACGTCTTACCTTGTTATACACATGAACTGACCAGTGTCGGCTCAGGGAGGCCGATAAGAAGGGCACAAAATTCTACGAGTTCCCCACAGGTTACCAGGCTATTTTCAAGGGCAGCGAACGTCTGCATCCCGCAGAGATCTTCTTCAACTCCTCTGCTCTCAACCGTATCCGGGTACGTTTCTCTCCCTCATGTCCTGCCCCAATCTCACTCCCAAACAGTCATACGGACCTCCCCCGATAGCCGAGAACCACCCCTCCCAAGGCAGGATGATCCCTCTCCAAGAAGCCCTGCCGCTGCAGAACTTAATAGCACACGCGCTCGATCTGCAGGACATTGACGTTCGAAGTAGCTTAATGCAGAACGTGGTGCTCGTTGGTGGGGGCAGCATGCTGCCTGGCTTCCAAGAACGACTGCTCTTCGAAGTCTCGAACCTTACGAGAAATGTGCGTTTTCCTCCCTCAGCCTGGTAGAGCATCGCATCTGACGAGTCTACAATAGAAAAACTACAAATTCCATATCCCTACTGTGCCCTGGGAACGCCGGTTCAGCTCCTTCCTTGGCGGCAGCATCCTCGCTTCCCTAGGTACGTTCCACCAGCTCTGGGTCAGCCGAGAAGAGTGGAATGTGAGTTTTCTATGTTTGCATTTGGGGCTGCGAGGCTGATTGAGATCATAGGAGTTTGGCCCGGACATCTTGGCGCAGAGATGCAAATGAGTGGGTGTGTAGTGATTGTTGTAGTCTATGTAATGCGATTGCATATCACCCTGTGAACAAAACAAAGAGGTGCGGGCAGATGATCCGACAAAATCGGGATTCCCTTGCCTCGCCCAGGCATGCTTGAACTCGATGCATTTTAATTGCCTTTTGCTGTTAACGTGACTCATGGGTACATATAAGACAGGAATACCAAATGTACACTGCCGACCCCGACACTCTCAAACCAGAGGCCACTCAAGCTCCTCACCATAATTGAAGTGCACCGCCTTGACATTCGTATAATTGGCAAGAGCGTACTGACCCAGCTCACGGCCGATCCCGCTCTGCTTGTACCCGCCGAAGGGAACGTTGTTGTTCAGCAGGTTGTACTGGTTCACCCAGACGGTGCCGGCCTCGAGCGCGCCAGAGACGCGCATGCACTGCTTGGCGTCGTTGGAGTGCAGACCTGCTCCAAGACCGTAGGTCGTCGCGTTTGCGAGGGAAATTGCTTCGGCCTCGGTCTTGAAGGCCGCTACAGCGAGGACGGGGCCGAAAATCTGGGGAAAACTCAGCAGCTAGAAATGGATCTCGAGGACGGGCCCACCTCCTCCTTGACGATCCTCATTTCGGGATGGACGCCCGCAAAGATAGTCGGCTTGACGAAGTACCCCTTCGTGCCCTCGCGCCCACCGCCAGTGAGGACCTTCGCCCCCGCCTTCTTACCCTCCTCGATAAACCCGAGCACCTTCTCGAACTGCCCCTTGCTCACGAGCGGGCCGTTGAACGTCTTCTCATCATAAGGGTTGCCGACCTTTACCTGCTCAAACTTCTTCACAAGCAGCTGGATGAACTTGTCATACACCGTATCCTGCACATACACCCGCGAGCCGGCGGTACAATCCTGGCCCATGTTGTAGGTGATGCCCAGGAGGCACCAGTTTGCTGCCTGGTCGAGATCCGCACTCTCGAAGATAAGGTTCGGGCTCTTCCCGCCCAGTTCTAGCGTCACCTTCTTCAAATTGCTCTTCGCTGCAGCCTCCATGATCTTCCGCCCGGTGATGGTAGAGCCGGTGAAAGCGACCTTGTCGACGTCCAAGTGGTAAGTGAGCGCGTGGCCAGCAACGGCACCGTACCCCGGGACGCAGTTGAGCACGCCGGGAGGGAAACCGGCCTCGACGATCAGCTCGCAGAGCTTGAGCGCGCTGAGCGGCGTGAGCTCAGAGGGCTTCATCACGATCGTGCAGCCGCAGGCGAGCGCAGGGGCGACCTTCCACGCCCACATCTGGATGGGGTAGTTCCATGGGATACTACCCGACGATCGCCGTCAATAGACAACCTCCTTCATCTAATGAGAACGTACATCTGCCCACTAGCGGATGTCAGGTTGGACCAGACGGTGCCAGTGAGGACTTACCAAACGCCAATTGGCTCGTGCTTGGTGTACGCCAGCTTCTGCAGGTCGTTCGTCTCGATCGTCTGGCCGTGGTTCTTGTCTGCCCAGCCAGCGTAGTACCTAATGCACCCGACCGAGTCGCCAATGTCAAAGTCCCTGCGCATACATCAGCTTCTCCTCATCCTCTCCATACACCAGCATCCATCGATAGCAGCAATGATGGCATGGAGAGCACCGTACCTACCTAGCGATCTTGACCGGCTTGCCATTATCCACCGCCTCGAGCTCAGCCAACACCTGGGCATCCCGCTCCATCAGATCCGCGAGCTTGTGCATCAGCTTCCCCCTTTCGGTGCCCGGGCAGTGTTTGCCCCATGTCGTCTTGAACGCCGTGCGTGCCGCTTGGACCGCACGGTCGATATCGGCGGCTTGGGCAGCAGAGACCGAGCAGATCACCTCCTCCGTGCTGGGGTTGACTGTCCTAGAGAGAGGTGAGCCATCACGTTGATGCCCGTAGGTTGGAAAGAAGAGGAGAGAGTACGCACTCGAGCGTCTCCCCTCCCAAGGCTGGGACAAACTCGTTATTGATGAACAAACCGGTTGGGATTGTGATCTTCTGCCCCGTGGGGAGTGCAATCGTCGTATGAACTTTGGACATCTTCTGCTTAGTGTGGATATGGACTGTTCTTATACTGAAATAGAGAGAATGTGCAACAGGGAGGCAGGTGGACGTCGAGAGTGTAAACCGTAGCATTCAGTGCTAACGCTGGCAAGCCAAGCTCAATTTATATGGAATGTCCAACGCCCACAGCACACCCCTGAAGTTAGATACGTCCTCGTGGTCTAAACGCGGCTGAGAAGCGCAGAACAACCTCGGAGATTGGCGAACGTCGTTGAGGATGTGGGAAGATAACCGGACGTTCAGGTTGATAGGCTGTCAAGGTCCGTGTGTGTACATAAATGCATTATGTGCTTCGACCGTGGGGAAAAGGACGGCCTTGAGAGGGGATTGGTGGATTGTCTGTACTTGTTAGGCAACTGTGGGCGATAAGGGGGCTAAGAAGGCTATCGAGGGGGGCAGCTGGTGAAAAGGGATGAGAAGAGATAGCTGAGAGGCTCATGGGATGGGTATACGTAATGTACACGATCATGGGACAGAGGAGCAGAGAAAAGGGAGTGTTGCAGTCATTCGTGAATAGAAGTAAGGATATGGGAATAATATGCCTAGTACTACATTTGACAACAACAAAGAATAAAAAGAATAAAAAGTCCTTGAACAACAGTCGTGACGCAAGCGAAGCGAGTAAGAAAGGGCAGGTCCGTACCGTACTACCCATTGATAGTCCGAACAAAGGTCATTAATCGCCAGCGAACAGTTCACTCTCCAGGAAGCAGCCCAAAAGCACCAGCAACGAATGCAATGCACAGTCCGAGTCCTCGAGTCTCTAATCGTCCAGTCCGGCCAACGCCCGCGCCCCCCGGCCCGCAGCGTCAGCAATGTACTCCGTCTTCGCGAACCGCACTCCGCATTTTGCAAGCTCTTCGAAGAACATCTCACGGTAGATCGGGAGTCCCATCATACCCCCGCCCATGCAGAGTGTGGCTTGGGCGGCGGTGATACGCCGGCCGTCGACGAGCGGACGGGCTTGCCATGCTAAGTCGCGGGCAGATTCCCGAAGTACGCCTGTATACGGAGTATGAGAATGGAAGACACAACACACGGGTGACATGAACAATGAAATCTGAATGAACAACGCACCTTTTGCTCTCTCACAGTTGTACTCTGTCGCGCACTTGACAACTGCCCTGCTGAGCTCCGCGATCGCCAGTTTCCTCTGGTTGGCAGCCACGCTCGCGCTCTTCTCCTCATCCAGCTCATACACCTTCGCAAGCAGCCCATCAGTCGTCTTGACCCCAAACTTCACCCTCACCATCTCGTGCAGCTGGGTCTCCGGCGCACCGCTGTCAAAGTCGTCCACTACTGCACGGAGCGCTGCTCGCCCGATGTAGAACGCGCTCCCTTCATCACCTAAGAGGAAACCGGTGCCGCCCCTTCGGCCGACGTACTTGAGCTGACCGCCCTCGACGGCCCAGGCGAGGCAGACACTGCCAGTCCCAGCGACGACGGTCAGCCCGCCCGTAGAGCCGTTCGTGAGAATAGGCGCGGCGAGCAGTGCAGCATCGTTCTGTATCACGAGGCGCTTCCCGTAGGGAATATCAAAGAACTCGCTCAGGGGGACACTGAGTGCCAGCGCATCGCTAGGCGCGTCAACGCCCGCTAGGCCAACCCAGACAGAGTCAAAAGACACAGGACAGCGGGAGACGGCAGGTGCCTGGGGTCGCTCAACCACCCAGAGGGAATGGGAAGTCAGGTCGCCCAAAGGGTTCAAGTGGAGCGTGTCTGCCGGATCTGGAGTTTTGGGCGGAGAAGGCGTACGCGGAGGAGTAGAGAGTGCGGTTAAGCCAACATCGTTCGTGCTCACTTTGAGACCATTGGGATGATGCCCCGAACCATGCCCGTCCTCGCTTCCGATACTCTTCCTGCTGATGTGTCCCTCGCCTTTCTCGTTCACGCGCTCGAGCTCGTCCCACGCCTCCCGCTCAAGGTACTCCTTTGGCAGGCCGGCGATCGCACGTTCCGTAGCGAGCTTGAGGGCGGAGACGCTGTTCTGCAGCCCGACTTCGGCGATGTTGGATGTGCCTGCGAAGCCCCGCGCGAGGATACCGAGGGAGGAAGCGATGGCGCACGAGGTCTTTGTGCCGCCGCCGTCGATGCAGAGGTGAAGTGGGGGAAGAGGAGGAGGAGGGGACATCGTCAAGGGGAGGAAGGTGGTGGACGTGAGCGAAGATGGGTTGGCTGTCCGGTCCAAGTGTTCCTAGCTTGCTAGCAAAAGAGTGGGCTGAGAACGACGAGAAAAGTAAAAGGGGGCCAGTATGTGATGTGCTGGAGTGTAAAGTGGCACAATGTGCAAGCGTTGATATATAAAATGACGTCGCCTTCGGTTGAATTCTGCAGCCAAGGATCAGCATAACAAGACAGGGGCATCATTATACTCACAGAATAATTATTATTCAATAATAAACGGAGCTAAGTTCCAATCCGAAAGATACGGGCAATTCAACCCGGTGCGGTACGGTCGGGCACGGCCTATACCTTCAGTTGCACTCGCACACCTGGGAGATAGGGATAACGCAGGTGTAAATGCCCGCCGTCTCTCCGGGTCAGACGGGCGATTCGCTGGCGGCTATGCTGGAAGAGATGCGACAAGTACAGCAATAATGGACAGTCAAGGTTTGCCAGTTGGTGGTAAGATGCTGTTCAGCCGTCGTCGCTGTCGTCGTCCTCACCGTTTCACCGCGAGGCGGGTAACGGGCGGCAACATGCGATGCATGGTGCGGACCTTCCGTTCTTACCGCATGGCACGCGACCTTCTTCTTCACTATTCCGCCAAGAGTTTTCTTTTCTCATTAAACGTGCACAATCTAAATAGGAATTCTTGTATGGTATGTTTTTGCCTCTGCGAACATGGGATACAAGTTTGCTATACTGTGGAGCACTACCCCCATACGACTTTGAGGACCGGAGCATCACGTGGACACGTGACCACCATGATTCTTTTAGTCTTGACAATAATCCCAAATATATATATTACAGCGTCTTATAAAGAGTAGCTGATCTACCCTGAATAACAATCCCAACTAAGAGAAGTACTGACCTAATTTCACACGTAAAAGAGAAAGAAACGCGTCCATTGTACTCCGGGAGTAATCCCCACGCGACTCTGGCACGCGTTCACCTCCAAGTACTGTTCCCTGACAGTCAGTCACGGTTCGTCCATTCAAAAGGGCATATCTCTGCCCTTGACGTTATACCTGTCAGTCCTTTCGACACCTATGGCCCCAAATACCGAACGAATACAGGCACTGTTGAACAAATGCAAGCATCCGGGTGAGTTTGGTGCGAGTCTGATGGGGGACGCTGACCTGACAGATTGGGTGTAGACACCGACGTCAAGAGCGACGCGATCGGGAAACTGCAGCTCGAGTTCGAAGAGGCCTCTGAAGTACGTCTATGCGTAGTCATCTACTCTCCTATACTAACACGCACTTAGATCCCAGATGTAGATGCGATAATAGCGACCTTAAAGCCCTTTCTGCGTTCTGCAAACCCGCATCTCTCAGTCTCAGCCCTCTTCGCACTAGCCCCGCTCATCCGTCTCCTGCATTCCGAGCACTCGGTTCGCCATGCCCTTGTCGCATTTATGGCTCCTGGTGGAGGAGGGCTGCTAGAGCGTATGGGAGACGCGCGGGAGCGCACACGAGAAGGAGCAAGACAAGCTGTCGAGGCGCTGTGTGAGCGGTGTCTTGCCTTCGGCCTAGGAGGGATGAAAGGAAAGGGCGGGGGAGGGTCGCGCGGTGATCCGGAGAACGTTGGAGCGCTGTTTGAGAAGTACCTCAAGGAGGGAGGGTTTGGGAGCAAGGTGGCTCGGACAAGGGAACAGTGCCTTCTGCTGCTCGTCGCTGTTCGAAAAGTTCAGAGGAGCCTCCCTCTTCGGCCATACCTCTCCCCGCTTATCGACACACTGCAAGACTCGGACGGCGCCGTCCGCTCCTGTGCACAGCAGAGCATGCTTCTCCTCTTCGGCCCCGGGTCAGGCGTGTCTGACACCGCGCGCACAGAGCTGAAGAAAGAAGCCGGGAAAAAGCAAGTGCGCAAGCAAATCTGGGACCCGCTATGGGAACGCGTGTGCGACGTCGAGCCCGTTACGGACGAGTATCTCGTTCCAATCCCGGATGGGGACGAGGGGTTCGGGAGTTCCCAAACGAGCGAGACGGGCACGAGGACACTCAAGCGCAGCCAGAGCCAGGGCGCGCTAGCGGCTGCTGCTGCTCTTGCGGCGGCGAGCAGTTCCAGACCGGCAAGCAGGATAGGAGACATGCCCAGCGATGCGGACGTCACTGCCGTGCACCTCGCTTCGGCTCGGGACGTGGAAAATGAGTTCAACGCGATGCTGCCTGCCTTTCAGGGCAAGGAGTCGGAGCATAATTGGATGCAGCGCGAGGCGGCGATCATGCGCGTACGAGGGATGTTGAAGGGCGACGTCTGGCGGAGATTGCCGGAGGCGTTCTTAGCTGGACTTGGACGAGGGTTTATGGAGGGGAGCCTGAAAGCTGTATGTATGCACTTGGAGTTTTTGTGCATGTGCTGAACTGTTTACAGGTCACTTCGTTGAGGACTACTCTGTCACAGGTAACGATTTCCCTGTATGTGTCCCTCGCTACTACCCTCCGTCAGTCGTTCGACCCGTTCGTGGACACGGTCTTCCTCCCGCTCCTGCGCATGTCCAGCCTCACAAAGAAGATCATCGCCCAACAATCCCAAGCCACCTTGACGACCATAATCGAGAACACGTCCGCGCACGCACGGCTCGTCCTCCCAAACCTCTTCGACGCAGTCACGGAGAAGAACGTGCAGACACGACAGGCCGGGCTCATGCACCTCCGGACTTGGCTCACTGTACACGGCCGCGCCCCGATAGAGCACTACACGGGTAGTCTGGACAGTCTGGACAAAGCCGTCCGCCGAGGTGTGGGGGATGCGAATCCCATAGCGAGGGAGGAGGGACGTAAGCTGTTCTGGGCATTCGAAGCGCTCTGGCCGGATAGGGCAAGACCTATCATGGATAGCTTGGATGCTGCCAGTCGGCGAGGCTTAGAAAGAGCAGATCCGAGGAACGCACCCGTCCCTGCACACCTCCCTGCCGCAGTCGCAGCAGTAGCGGCGAGCGCTGTACCCGTCCCCCCCGTGCCTGCGCTCTCGCCCGGGACGAGAACAGTGCCGAATACACCTGCTACCGCGCCCAAGCGAGCCACTGTTCGGGAGATGATCCAGATGCATCGCGAACAGCTGAAGAAGCAGGAGGTGGCCAAGCTGGGCGTCGCTCCTGGTTCGACGCCGACCATGCAGCGCGCGGTGAGCAGTCCGCCAAGCATGCCGCAAGCTTCAACCTCCAGCTCCATGCCTAGGTCTATCTCGTCCACTCTTGCTCGTCAAGCGTCTCCGCCCCCGGCGCCTGCGTCTGCAACCTCTACTGGATCTTCGGTAGGATCTCCTCGCAGTGCCCGGTCTGGCGCTCGGTCTCCAGTCCGGATTGCCCTCACACCAACCAAACCGACGCATATACCCGCTCCGTCCCACGCCCGCAGTCCCTCAGTGCCCGACTCGCCAACACCGACTAAGTCTAGGTCTGCCTCACGCGCTTCGTCTGAGCAGGCTGCGCCAGGTAGCAGCCGAGTACGCTCGCCTGTTCAAAGACTTCCTATTACGCACGCAACGTCTACTCCTGCCCCGGGGAAGATGACCCGAGGCTCAAGACTTGCGTCACCTCCCGTATTCCCGGATGATGACGAGACGGAGAACCTCACTGTCGCTTCCTTGCGCATGGCTGATGATGATGACGAGACGCTTCTCTTAGCACAGAATATGGCTCTACCCGGAGAAGATGACGAGGATGAGACGTTCCAGCCGTTCAGCATCTCCCCTCCCCCGCCGGTGAAGACACCTCCACCAACAAAACGCCCGAAAACACCGTCAAAGATCCCCATCTCGCCTTCGCGCAAGTCTCATAACACGCGGTCATCGTTATCCTCCAGTGCGTCAAATCCGTTCACTCCCCCGATCTCTGCGATCGCAACGAAGAATCATGAGCCAGTTCCCCAGTCAGTCATCGAGGACGCTCTACGCGCTCAGGCGGAACAGGCAGAATCTGCAGCGAACATGTTACTCGAACTTGTGGAGCCGGAAGATGAGCTGAATCATACACTACTGGCTACGTCTGCCAGGAGCGCACCGGCCATCACTCCCCTTAATCTTGCTCCTAAAGAACATGCGGGCTTACCGCGCACGCCGCTCCCGAATCGTCAGAAGTCCGCCATCCGCCAGGCAGCAGAGTCCTTCATGAACAGTCCGGCCCAGTCTCATGGAACGCCCGGTATGCTTCGTGCACTATCGGAGAAGAGGCACGAGACTGGCCTGTGGCAAAGAAAGATCGCGCGTGAGTCCTCATTGCCTACATTTGGTTCTCAACTTCAGCTCATATTATCCTCAGCGCTGAATGGGTCAAGATTCCGAATGGATGCAGAAGAACAGGCTGATAAACTAGACCTGGCTACAACTTCCCTCGCTACGGGAGAGACAACAACCGCGTCCTTGCAGGATGTTGCTCGTATATGTGCTCTGAATCCCTGCGATTCAGGGTCGCCCAACATCTTCATCCGTTCGTCCGCCAACGGCTCTCCGGCGAGGTCCATCCCTGACATCTGGAACGGCGGCAAGGCCTTTGATGGCTTGTTTGACGCGTTGATGAAGTTCTTGACACCAGAAAGAGTAAGTCTTTGACCACATCCGTGTGAACACCAACTCACAGTTCAGAACGGAGACGTGCTCGAGTTTGGTCTTGTTCTCTTGTGGGAAATGCTGCAAAACCAAAAACCACTCCTAGATGGGCGGGAAATGGAAATGTTTAGCGCGTTGCTCAATGTTCGATGGTGCAACTTGCCGAATGTGTTGCAGGCTACCAACGCCATTCGAGACGGTATCACGATGCAATTCGACCCGGTTTTCGGAGTCACACAACTCAATGCTTGCTTGCGCACATTTATCCAGCAGCCTGTTCCTTCCATCGGAATGGAAGCGGTGCGATCGGCTACATACGCTTTTGGCCTCGTTGGGTTGGGCAAGTTCATTATGCGCTTGCCATCAGAGATATTGGAGGACGAGCTCCCGCGGCTCAAAGGCTTACTACTAACGGTGAGTTTCAAGCGGTACAGTGCGACCTTGCCTGATAATGTCTTCTTAGGCATTGACGGATAAATCGTCGGAAGTCCGTGAAGCAGCGAGTTTAGCTGTCGTTGCGGCACAGTTGGTTCTGCAAGATGAAATCCACCTGTTCATGCTTCTCGACGGACTGGACAACGGCAAGAAGAACCTGCTCATCTACTATTTTGAAAAGTACAAGATCCGTAGTGCGGACGATACCGTTACGCAGACCCATCGCAGACAAGGCTCCGGGCAGGAATTGATAGAGAAAGAAATGAATCGCCTTGACATGAGGGCGACACCTCCACGGTCCAACATTCGTTCCTTCCCAGTCATTCCTAAATAGTTGTTTTTCCAGCGACGTGATCTTGTAGCATAGATTATTACACTCTACGATTATAACGGACTATCTTTGGATCGTACTGTATTGCTACTCGGAAGTCGTTTCGGCATAATACATTGTTAGAGTATCAGGTACAACAATACAGGGAGGAGGAAGGCACGACCATAAATTGGAAAGGTCATTTCCTTTTCCTCCCTCGCTTAGGCCGCTCTGCAGTCGAAGTGATGGACGGCTCCTCAGCCTCTAGAACTTTTCGTTTACGACCGTGTGGCGTTTCTATTGAGGACGCCGGCGACTGAATACACGCTCGTCTTCGACCACGAACTCTCGCGGCGATGTTGTCTTCCTCCAATTTGAAAACAATAGCATCAGCTGCTTTTCCAGGTGCCGTCTCCCCTATTTGGAGGGGACTTTCCTTAGGAGGGGGCACAACCGCATCGCGATCGGGGGTCGCAGACTCCGGGATTTTACTGAGAGGAACATCGGCGGTCGCCTGCGGAGCGTCGCTGGTATCTGTGGGAAGGGCTGCCGACTTGAGTGTGAGAGGTCGATCTTCCTGCATATTCTGCTCTGGTACGACTTTGGTAGGGACGAGACGTCTGGGCCGGCCAGGCTTTCGTTTTGCAGGGATGGGTCGATCATGCTGTTGCACTGAAGCTTCGGCACCGAGTTCGTTTACCGTTCTAAGAAGCCCGGAAGACTCGTTCGGACGATCCTCAGCGGTCCCAACAATCGGCACGGTGACATTCACGTCGTCCTGCGCAGGATTCTGCCCAGCTGCCTCCCGGATCTGGGCGCTATGACTTGGGATCGGGACAGTGTACAGCTGTGGCGCTGCCGCAGCGAGCTTTCGATCACACGCCGCCTTCCGTTCTTGTACGATTGCGAAATATCGCTCAGCGATCTGTTGAGATCGTCAGACCGGAGCTAAGATATAGGATGCCATACTAGGGCTCACCACCTCGAACGTGCGCCCTGGAAGGCGGCTGGCCACCTCCTTGAGAGTCAACTTATCCTGCTCCTTAGCCTTCAGCAGCTTGGCAGTCTCTTCCTCCGTCCAAGGCTTGTCGACGTTCCTCAATTCTTCTTGCAAGATCGTTGCCCATCGAAGACGGCACTGAGACTTTGTTCGACCCTGGGCTTTCTCGGAAATAGCGCCCCAGTCGATGGTCGATTCCGGAAAGTTAGGTTGCTTTTGCTGTTCCGCGACGGCCTGCATCAGGGCTTGATCTTCTTCGGAGGTCCATCGTCCTCTCTTGCACTCGAGAGTCAATCGGTTCCATCTTGTGCGTGCTTGTGTCCCTGAACGACCGCTGCCGACGAATTTGGCGACTAGAAATAGATCAAGTTAGTATTATAAGCAAATGCACGTGCACGGTCGGAAGCCGTACTTTGTACCCAGTTGGAGTTGAACCGCGCAACGGCGTCCGCCAAACGGTCGTCTTCGTCTGCTGACCAGAATTCTCGTAGTCCATTGACCATTATATCGCGATAGACTCTTAGACATTGAGCAACGGTTCTCCTCGTCTATGTCGCCCATCAGCATAACTCAGAGCAGTCGGATAGGAATTACCTTAAACATCTTGTTATGCAGTATGAGGATCTGTTCCCACGGTAGCCCTCCATCGTCCCCCTCCGCCTCCCTCTGTGCTACTCTCTCCCTCACCTCATTCACAAGCGCGTTTTTCTCCCTTTCTCCCCATTCTGAATGATCGATTTCAGGATGCTGTACTCCCATCCACTGGATCCTGCATTCCACCCCCGTTCTCGGGGGTTGAACGAGGTTCTCACCCTTCAGTATACGGGCAACGTTGTCCCACTTGATCTCATCCCCTTTTACGGCCTTCAGTTCCGCTTCGGGATCGAATGATTTCAGAGCTGATATCGCACCTTCGCCGCGGGCTTGGGCGGCGAGGATGGTCGATCGTCGAAGTTCGGTCTGGAGCGCGATACGTAAACCGTCGCGTTCCTTGGAGCTCCACGGGCGAAAGGTAGTTAGAGCATGATACTCATCTACTTTCTTAAACGAGTCTTTAAATGGAGAGTCCTAGTACTATTAGCCAGGTATACCAAGAGATAAGATAACGGACGCACCTGGGCACGGAGATTAGCCCATCGGGTCGGGCCGACAGCCAACATCGCCCCTTCCACAACAACGATCTCCTCGCCCTTGTTCTCTTCATCCGAAAAGTCCGCGGTCCCTTCCTCAGCCTGCCACTTCTGCTTCTGCACATCAAGCTTCTCGACGTCGCTCTGCCACCGGTCAGCCGCGGACTGGGCACTGGAAGAGAGCAAGTAACGCACGAGGAGGGACTCGACGGCCTTGAGCCTCGCTTCGCATTCTTTTGCAAAGTCGAGTATGTCCTGTTGATGGTCTTTGTTCGCTGCTAGGGCTTGGTCAGTGAGCGCTAAGGCGGACATGACTGGTCATGATCGTCGGGTTATGAGCCAAATTCTCGGTCAAGGGTCCAGTAAGATCACGATGATGACACCGACAATGAAAGGGTGTAACACGAGGGAACAGGAAGTCCTGAGAGTTATTATGCAATTCGTTCAAGGTGACCGTCAGAACGAATGGACTTCCAAGAACCGTGATGCAGATGGTTAGGTACTAAAGGATTCTTTGTGGCGCTTTGGTGGTCTGACATCGACAACGGGCTGGTAAGGACCTCGGTTGGTAGAATTTGACGTGCGGACTCGCAGAAGGAAGGAACAAAGGAGCGGTGACGTCTTAGGTAATTCAATTTCTTATTTCGTACATGTGACTAGTCTACCAGATCAAGCACACAGCGGTATCATATCACGTCGCTCCCATCAGAGAACTCTGTGCCGGTCCAGCGTCGAAATTGATCACGCCTTTGCAGAGGGATCCTCCGTCATGCGGAGGTAAGGCTATTCTCCAGGTCAATGCGAGTGAATAAAAGGACGGGACGAACGCACCAGGTAAGTCTTCATGCCAGGGAAGAGGGTCTTAGCCTCATCGTTGCTCACACCGGGGTGGACGATGACGTCGTCGCCCTTCTTCCAGTTGACGGGGGTGGTGATCCTGTACTTGTCCCCAGCCTGGAGGGAGTCGATCACACGGAGGATCTCGTTGAAGTCGCGCCCCGTCTGGGCGGGGTAGGAGATCATGAGACGGATGATCTTCTTGGGGTCGATGACGAATACCGTGCGGACGGTGAAGGGGATGCCCTTGGAGTCCACGTTCGTTGGGTCAACGGCGTCGAGCATGTCGTAGAGGGTTGCGACGGTGCGGTCGGGGTCAGCGATCTACTCCGATGTCAACATATGAGTGAGAGAGGCAAAGTGCAAGACGCACGATAGGGAAGTCGACATGCGTCGCACCAGACGTCTTGGAGCCAAAGTCATCAATGTCCTTGATCCACTTGTCGTGGCTGTCGAGGGCATTGGCAGACAAGCCGATAACCTTGACGCCGCGCTTGTCGAACTCTGGCTTCTTGCGAGCGACCTCTCCAAGCTCGGTAGTGCAGACAGGGGTGAAGTCCGCGGGGTGGGAGAAGAGGACTGCCCAAGAGTTCCCAATCCACTCATGTAACTTGATCGGCCCCTGCGTCGTCTCTGCCTCAAAGTCGGGCGCTACGTTCCCAAGACGGAGAGAAGGCATGATTATCTTTTCCTGTGAGAGCGCGGGGATGGTGGTGGCTCGAGAAGAAGCGGTGGGAGGGGAGTTCCAGCGGTCGAATCACATTGGTTCATAGACTGCTTATATACCCAATTACTCGTTGTAGGATATGAGGACGGTTTGCTAGGAGATTGCGTTCGAATTGCGTGATCATTCGCCCTGTTTTGCTCCCGTTATCCGCTGTTTCACGCAATGACTACGTTCAGTGGCCGCAAACCTTTCCAAATAAAGTATCTCCTTGATTGTTTACGGCCTGAAATTCTCCCAAGGCGATTAAAAGAGAAGTTGCAGAACTGTGCGGCTACAGAAGACGAGAGTGCATCCAGAGTCCTTCTCTCCGCGGTTTGCCGCGTATCGAGTGGAACAGAGCCATCATGGCAAGAAATTTGGAGTTCCAGACCCTGAACAGAGGGAATTTCGACCCAACCATCCGGATCCGAGTACTGACATTACGAGTATTTCCCCAGGATTCTGCTTTATTTGAGGCATTTTTTGAATGGAAATATTCAACTGCAGATTGTCAATAATAGTACGCCAAGAAAGTTCCATCCCACTTTCCCCGCAATCCATCGAGCCCGCACCTAAATGTGCTTGTCGGAAGTTCCGGGGGCATGCCGGAAGTGGAGGACGTCTGATGTCCTCCACATAATGCGCCAACTGCTGGAAAGAACACGCATTCCATTAGGTCATTAGGAAGTCGAGGCTTGCCTCTTTTCGTTGATACCTGTGCAGGATCACCAGAATGTCCGACCCGAACGATAAACGATTCGTCGTCCTCGCCACAGTGCGGTCTGTTCCCCTTCCCTCAGCGCCTATTCATGCCCTTCACAGCTTCACGTGAACCCCGCAAAAGTCGAAGCGTTCGAGAAGATCTTTCGCCCCTTCGTCGCTTCCAACCGCCAGGAACCGGGATCCATCAAGTTCGACGTCATCGTCACGCCTGACAAGAGCGAGTGGCATATGTTCGAGGTGTACAGGGATGAGGAGGCGTTCGAAGCGTGAGTGCCTCGCGCTCCTTGTGGAAGACACAAGTACTTAGATTGAACAGACACTGTGACACCTTGCATCATACGGAGTTTCACAGGATCGCGAGGGACGAGAAGGACCCATTGTTCACCAAGGTGCGCCCTTTCCAGTCGGACAGTGATTTGTTGTCGTGTGCTTGCTAAATGGGAAGTAGCCACCAAGAGTCCGACTGGACTACAAGATCATGTCTGGTTTGCAGCTGTCCTGATGAGTGCCGACGAGGTCGGGTGTCGTTTCTATTTTTGCGAGAAAGAAATAGAACATGGCCTTCCGAGAGACTACTCCCTGAACTGGAACAGAGGCGCCCCGGTTGTTGAGTGCCTTAAACGCGCTTCTTCCCCATCGGATGAACAACAATAAGGATATCCCCTTCACAAAGTGTATCAATACATCTAGAATTGCTTGCAAAATACTGTACATTGCTAGGTCAACCCCTGTTCGAGTCCAAGATGGAACAGCTCAATAATAGGCCAAAGCATGGAGCACCCCATGCGGATGACGTTCTTGCCACTTGGACAATATGCCTTCCATATCGCTATCCAAATCGTTGCTTTCCTCGATCTACCCTTTGTCAGCATTCCTGTGTCCAGAGAAAGGGGCGGACGAACGGCGCTTGCTAGATCAAGGATCGCCTTTCCTGCTAGGAGCGCTTCTTCGACATTGTCCTTGATCTCAATGTTAATTATATGCACAGGACGGTTCAGCTCTCCGCCTCTATTAAGCAGGTCTAGAGGAGCATCAAGGTCAGGGAAAGCGACCGTTGCTGGGAGAAGCCTACCTATGCAAACAGAGTCGAAACATTTCTCTTCGCAGGTAATTACTACATCGGCCATTGTTCGGGTTTCCTGCCACCTCTCAGGTGCGCGTTTAATATGCCGATTTCGGTCGATCATCTGCAGCACCCCATTTGCCGTGTACCTATTTGTACATCAGCATCTCACGGTCTAGATGAACATGATAACGAACAGTCGCGGGTCCTTCCTCATCAAGTCCTGGTATATGTCTTCGTACGGTGTACCAAAACCGTAGATATTGGGCTTGTCGATTGACGGTCCTGGTAATCGGACGGCTGTCCCGGTACCGGAGGAGATCACTTGAAAGTTTGCTTTGGAAAGTACATTGTGGGCTTCCATAGAGCGATTCTACAACAATCAATCTTGGTTGTCAGCTCTGGATAAAAATTGACGTAACGCGACGGGGCTAACGTTATTACTCGCACATACAACACAAAACAAGGGCCGTGTCTTCACTGGCGGGCCTTCGTTCATCACCTCCGGCGTTCCTGCCATCCCCGGCGGTGGCTGCGGTAGACTACCCATCCCCGGGACCACTCCCGTCATCGGAGCAGGAGCGATCCCCATCCCGCTTGGCTGTTGTGGGTGGGGAAAAGGCTGAGGTGGTGGTGTCGGCGTGTGCGCCGGAGTGCTAGATGCCAACCGCCGGCGAGGATCACGCCGGGGATCCATAATCTTCCGCAATTCAGTCAGTACAGTTTCAGTTCACGTAAGAGAGAGAAAAATGTGCAAGAAGCTCAGAAGTATCTGTAAGTCGTCTGTGGCTCCCAGCTGCCACCAAACGCGTGCGATCCTTGGATTCGCGTGCTAGTACGGCGAACATATATGCGGGTGTCTCCGATTCCACTCTGAAAGTAATCTTCGCTTCTGTGCACAAATTCCCCTCATAATTCAAGGGAAGAAGACTTACTGAAAAGAGCAACAAGTTCACACCCGCACAAGAGTCACAAGAGTTCAACTTTCAACTTCGGCTTGCTCAGTTAGGGACCATAAGAACAACAATTTGCTTCCGTCATCAAGCAACGCGTCCCTGGCAAGCGCTCGTCGGTGACTAACTACCAGCTTAGCACCATCTCACCACTTCCTGCTTTCCTTAACGACAACATGTCTCTCGCTGATGAACTCCTGGCCGACCTTGAAGACTTTGACGAAGGCCCTCAGCTGTCGGAGAACACCACACCTGTTCCTGAGCCTTCACGAAATGGTTCTAATCCGTACAGCGTGACGAATCGGGTCAACGGGAACAGCAAAGGAAAAGGGAAGAGTGTTGCATTCACCGCACCTGGGAAACGAAAGGCGTCTGATTTGGGTGAGGGGGCCGATGAAGATGAAGATGAAGAAATGGCGGAGGGTGAGGGAGACGAAGAGGACGAAGAAGACGAGGATATGCAACCTGCGGGATTTGACGAGGGTGACTTAGGCACAGGCCTGGTCCTTGAGGGCGGTGTGAAGCCTGCCGCTGAACTGGACAGCGAAGAAGTGAACAAGATGGAGTTAGAAGGCGTGGCGGATGTCACGAGCGTTGCTACATTGGAACAACAGCCGCGATTGAAGGAGATCTTACAGGCAAGTCACCGTTATCTGATTTTGGAATCTTCGCTGACAGAAGCACCCTTGCAGAAAATAGAAGAATATTCCTCACGACCCGCGCCCTCAGAAGATGTTTCTCAACTCCCCGTTCACCAGAATCCGGAATATCAGCTTACAGTGGCTGCGAACAATCTCGCAGTCGACGTCGACAACGAAATTCTTGTGGTGCACAAGTACATTCGAGACAACTACAACCCGCGCTTCCCTGAGCTGGAGACACTTGTCCCTGATAGCTGGCAGTTTATCAAGGCTGTCCGAGCCCTGGGAAATGTGGAGGATATCGCTTCTGTAGACTTGGCTGCGGTGCTCCCTCCCGCAGTGGTCATGAGTGTACGAGTCACATACACGACGACTTCGGGAAAGGTGCTCGCCGAGACGAGGTGGAAGGCTGTGGAACGAGCATGCGACCTCGCAGACAGGCTGGAAGGTGCAAGAGTCAAGATATTTAACTACGTCAAGTCGAGGATGAATATCATCGCACCAAACCTTTCGGCCATAGTGGGAACGACCACGGCCGCGAAGATCCTTGGTGTCGCAGGTGGACTGGGGAGCTTGATCAAGATGCCTGCATGCAACTATCATGTACGTACTTTCATTCTTTATGGGTGACCGATGCTGATGAGAAACTTCATGTAGCTGCTTGGTGCTCAGAAGAAAATTGCTGCTGGCTTCTCAACAGCCACCCAAAACCGACACACGGGGTTCATCTTCCAATCCGAGATCGTGCAAGAAACTCCACCCGATTTGCGGCGAAAAGCTCAACGAACAGTGGGCGCTAAATGTGCTCTCGCAGTGCGCATGGACCTGGAACGCGCCTATCGAGACGGGTCTTACGGTTTCAAAGTCCGGGAACAGGTAGAGAAGCACTTGGAGCGACTGGCTGAACCACCTCCTGCCAAGGTCGTCAAAGCCCTTCCCGTGCCCACCGAGGGACGCAAAAAGAAGCGAGGCGGGAAACGGGCACGCAAGGCCAAGGAGGCATATGCGATGACCGAGCTCCGTAAACTACAGAACCGGATGGTGTTCGGCCAGGCGGAGGAGGAGGCAGGCGCGTTCGACGAGACGGTCGGGATGGGCATGATCGGTGCCAGTTCTGGGCGAGTAAGAGCGAGCACTGGAGAGGAGAAAAGCAAGGCAAAGATGTCCCGCGCGAACAAGCTGAGGACGCAAGCGATCACGAACGCTGCGAAGAGGAGTATGGGCCAGGCAAGTGGCACGGCAACAAGTCTTGTGTTCACCCCGGTGCAGGGCTTGGAGCTCATCAACCCGGCAATCCAAGCACAACGAGTCAAGGAGGCGAACCAGAAATGGTTTGCGAACGGCACGTTTACATTCGTTGGTCAGAAGGGGGACAAGAAGTAGCGGCAGTTGCCGTTGGCACCGATGCCACAGTGTTCAGGGCTAAGCCGAAATACAGGGACAGGCCCTTCGGGATTATCGGACTTGCCTCATGTGTGTAATGCTAAGATTTGTGCATGTATTATTTGGCTGCTTGGGGGGACGCGTCATTCACGCGGATAGCCGTCATGGTGTATAGGTGTTGAACCCAGTTTTCCTCATTGTGGCATAGAGCATAAATGTAGTACTGTACAGTGGCCGGCAGCGCGACCAGAATCAGCTTCCATGGGACGACGCACGGACCACTCCTCAGCATCCGTCACTCCACGATGAAGACAGTAAGAACAATGATGCATGCCATTTCCCTCAACACCTGAGCCCTAATGCCTCACGCCTAAAGACAAACCTGATTGCTAAGAATACCGTAAAACCATGCTACATAATGTTTCGGAACTTGGAACTGACGGGACATTGGGGGATCGGATAGAGGACGGGGGATATTGCGGGTTGGAAGGACGCGGATGTAAGACGTGAAGATTGAGGATTGAGCAGCGTTTTCACGCCATGGCGACCTCAGGCTGTGCCTCTGGGATGGGACCTGTTGCGGTAAGCTTCGAACGCTTGGTCTTGTAATCCCGGATGGCCGCGCGGATGGCATCCTCAGCGAGCACTAAAGGATCAGTTAGTACTATGTTTAATACGGGATCAACTGGGAAAACATACTGGAGCAATGGAGTTTGACGGGAGGGAGGGAGAGTTCCTTGGCTATCTCAGTGTTCTTGACTTGACCTGCCTGCTCGAGGCTAAGACCCTTGATATGCTCGGTAACGAAGGACGAGGATGCGATGGCAGAACCACAGCCAAATGTCTTGAACTTGACATCCTTGATAATGCCCTCGTCATCCACCATAATCTGTAACTTCATGACGCTGGGACAGAGTCAGTAGGTGGAGTGTGGAGGTAGGGGTATGCACGTACTCTCCGCATGCCGGTGCACCGACAAGACCTGTTCCAACATTTGGATCGTTCTTGTTGAGGGATCCGACCTGTAGAGTTATGAGCATGGATGGATGGATGAGCTGGAGCAGGGACGCGTACGTTGCGTGGCGACTCGTAGTGATTGATAACCTTCTCGTGATATGCGCGCTTCACGACCTGAGCGACGGCCGGTACGCGTGGGACAGATGGGCCCGCGATGGGGCGCACAGATGAACGGAGAGCAGCCCTAAACATTGTCGTCAACAGAGGACTTTTTGATGAGGAGGAGGGGGAAGGTGGTGGTGAGAAGGTAAAGAGTGTCGAGGTTTGTGTGACCAGGCGGGGCTTGCCCTTCAAGTCTGACACCCACGCCGACGACGCCGAGCAGACCGCGGACAAAAACAGTTTGCTTCCGTGAACTTTACCGAGGATTTTGAGTGGCGATCTGTTGTGACGCCATTTAATTTTCCTTCCTTCTTTTAATGGAGCCAGATTACGTGAATTACTCCCGCTCTTCAGATCTTATCACCCGTGCGGCGTGAAATACGCCGGCCCTGACGACGTCCCTCGGCCGCACTGCCGGTCTACTGCGGTCCGGTTCCATAGCAGGGCGGCGTTCACACCGCCGAGCGTCTATCTGGGCAATGACTTGAGTAGCAAAACTTTCTCGAAATAGGGATAAGCACAACTTGCTCTCCGTAATCGACCGCGTCGCCAGCAAACGGTTGTTTAGCCAGATCAGCTGCCGAGTTGTCCCAGTCCGGCGGTAACTGCGCTGCACTGCCAGCTATTCGATCAGACGGGCTTTCGACCGACGGCTCCGATGTACATACACCGAACCCATGCCGAAACAAAACATGGACTGTTGCTGATCAACAGAATCATTTCCTCGCGAAATGCGGACCGTCTTCGGGTTCAAGATGGAACCCACATCGAAACATGAGGCACGTCGATGACTGCGTGGAGCAAAAAGTGCCGAGAAAGCAACCGAGTCATATTATCAGATAAGAATCAGCTGACAGGAATGGTACATGCCTATCCCATTTGGAGCAAGAGGGCCCAACCCCATGACACTGTTGTAATTGGTGGAGATGAAGGGCCGGAATATCTCGGAGAAAATGTCCATTGAGAACACGTGATGCAAATGGTTCCGCTCATTAGACGCGCACTTACAAACGAATTCATTAATTCACGTCGCAGCTGGATTATTGTTGAACTCTCTATACCCTATTCATGGCTTCCACTGGTACAACAAACGTATCTAACAATGTTCCCCGACCGATTCTATTCCATCCTACTGTCTCTTCTGAGGAGATCTCCATCACTCCGGAACTGCTTGAATCGGCGCTTATACCTGTCATTGGTGCTCAATTACAACAAGCGGGATTTACCCACGTCGAGCGCGGAGCAGTAGAATGGCTCGAAGAGACTGTGATACATCGTGAGTTCTACTTCGAATGGCTGAGAAAGTTGGTTCAGAAATGTGATAGTGGTGCAAGATGTCTTTGAGGTCGCAAAGGAACGAGCGGAAGGCACGAGTCGCGGGAGGGCGAATGCCGTTGACCTTTGGGATGCGATCGAGGAAGATCAGCTCATAAGAGGGGGCGTCGATGGTCTAGGAGAGATTGTAAAAGCACGAAGGGGAAGTGCACTGAAAGGTATGATTGAATATTTCGTCTACCAACGTGAAGTGTTGCTGAACCAGTGCCAGCCGGATTAAGGATAGACATCGAAGAGCCTAAGCAACCAGCACCGACACTCGATCAACTCGATGGCATAGAGGAACAAGTACTACTCCTACCATATGCTCCGCCGCACGCACCTCCATTACCCGCCACCCACACCTACGTCTTTTCTCGAGTGAGTGTTCTCTTCTCCGCCGCATTCTGTCTCTAACGCAAGTGCTTTCAGGCTCCTCCACCAAGTGAATCCACCTCGCTCAACACCCTCAATCAGCAAGTCGAGGAGTCGCGACTTGCCGAGTCCTCCTTACGCAAGCTCATCAAGTCCCTCGAAAGCGACAGCACTACATTACCGACTTTAACGCGCGGTGGACAACCTAATGGGACGCCGAACGGAGGGAGCAGGTCGGGGAGCGAGGGACTTATGCCGCCTCCTCTGGGCCTTCCCCCGCTGAGTGTGGCAGATATGGCTCCTGTGGTTAATTGGGAGAGGGGAAGGATGCAAGGGAGGCGGTGGAATGTGAAGGGGTAGGACGGGATAGTTGGACGAGTGGAGGGAGAGTCGAAGAACGAAGGAGTTGTCGGCATGAGTCAATGTGCCGGAGCTGTGGATGCTGGCCGGCTGGATGAAGTAAATCAAGCTTGCCTTTATCGAATCCCGTATATTCATATTTGCGCCCAGGAACTCTGTCTATTTCTCCGTCCGACCGCTCTCAAGCCCGCCTACCAACCGGTCGGACCTCGGTAGAGGGGCGTTGTAAAGATGTTCCTGCGGGACATGAGACGATCACCACTGGCGACCTATTCTCTGGACGAATGTTCACGAGATTGTCGACGTCATCTCCTTCGAATTGCTCGGCCGCGGATCCCTACCTTCTCTGTACAACGCGGCTGAAGGCAAGCAATCGTAATGCATTGCGTCCGTTTACCTGCGAGCGAAATCCGTCGCACACCATGTCTGCATGAAGTGCGTCTGTTCCACCTGAATATTCCGGCTCGGAGCCGAGCAGCAGTTGGCGTCTCTTTCCCGACCGCAATAAGCTGTCTCATCGTGTTCTTTTTGGTTCGCGAGGGTGGTATATTAATAGATGGTGCGCATGTGATCTACTGCGCTCTTCAACATTATTATTTCCGGAACTTCCAATTGCCTTTCGCGTCCGCTGGCAACGGAACATCTCTCTCCCCAGGCGGGATATGGTATGAAGACGACACGAACCAGACCATGGCATCCCATTCACTGTCGATGTTTGTGTATTTGGAATATTTGGCGCTAAAAGGAGCATCTTCGGATCTAGATCGAAGGAAATACTCTGGCCACCCCATTTTTGCATCTCGTTCAGGCTGACAGGAACCGCCGGCTTGTTCCTGTCCTGGCCCGTGTATAAATTCGACGGCTCGCGCAAAGTCAGAACGCATACATCAAGCCCGTTCTTCAGCAAGATGTTCGTGACTGTTGCTGCTACTCTTGGACTCGCTGCCTCCGTCCTTGCCACTCCTCCCCGTCTGGGTGGTGTGAACACCGCCCGTTACGACTTCAGTGTCAGCACTGATGGTTATGATACCCTTCCCTACAGTACGTCTGTTCCATCACAAGGGGCCAAGGATCTAACGCTTACGCATCCCAGCCCAACCCCCTCTGTACCAGTACAGGCACTTCTCGGCTGAGGGCGCCAACCTCTATCGCATCCCCTTTGCCTGGAAGCTGGCTACTCCCACTCTTGGTGATGCGCTGAACACCACTTTCTTTGCACAGTACGACCAGAACGTGCAGGCCGCTCTTGCGACTAACGCGTATGTCATTGTCGACGTGCACAACTACGCGCGTTGGAATGGCGAGATCATCAACCAGGTGAGTGCAGGCCCACTGAACGATCTTTTTGGTGATGAATCGTCCTCCAGGGTGGTCCTACCATCGAACGATTCGCGAGCTTGTGGTCGCAAATCGCCGCGTACTACCAGAGCGAGCAACGTGTCATCTTTGGCATTATGAATGAGCCCCATGAGTGAGTTTCCGATGTTCGTCCATTTACGATAAATTCATTTCTTCCTCCAGTCTCCCGGACGACACCCTCTGGCCTCCTGCGGTCCAGGGTGCCATCAATGCCATCCGTGCGGCTGGCGCTACCACCCAGTACATCCTGATGCCAGGATCTAACTGGACGTCGGCCGCTGACATGCCCACCGTCATGGGTCCTCTTCTGTTGAACATCACCGACCCAGCAACCCCTGGTTCTACTGAGTACCTTCTCTTCGACGTCCACCGGTACCTCGACTATGACAACTCCGGCACTCACAGCGCCTGCGTTACCAACAACACCGAGATCCTCCAGAACCTTGTTACCTGGCTCAAGGCTAACGGTGGTCGCCAGGCCATCCTTTCGGAGACTGGTGGCGGACGTAACGATTCCAGCTGCTACACGATGCTTGGTGAAGAGCTTGCATTCATCAAGGCTAACTACCCTTATACCGTCGGTTTCTCCGCTTGGGCTGTACGTGATACGTCTTCGTCTTGTGATCGTATATTGAGTCAATTCGCAGGCTGGTGCCTTCGATGACACCTACGTCCTTTCCTTGACTCCTACCAACGAGACCGTCGATGCTCCCCGTGAGTCCTTTCTTATCGCAACTGGATGACCTTTACTAAGTAATGTGCTCTCAGTCTGGGACTACACCATCCTGCCCAACCTCCCAGCGGCCACATATACCGCGTAATCGACACAGTTTGCAACCAGTCCCTCTAGCCTCTGACGAGTAGACGCTCGGCAGCATGTCTTTTCCGCTAGTCCTAGGTAGCTGAACGTCCGCGAGCAGAGGCTTGTATCGAGCAGTTGGAAATATAATGCCCCTTCCTATGCACTAAACAGATGAGGTCCATTCTCTTTGAGTATAGAGCAACACGTGCAAGGATCAGCGGGGGACGATGAAATCGGCCAGCGGCAGGAAGGTTCGGTCGTCTGTTGGAAGAAAGCTAAAAATGGTCCATCAAAAGCTTGGCGAATGGCGGTATTCAGCGATCTTCTATTCCGTCCTGTTCATCGGCACCGACCGATGGGACGGATCTCTTAAACTTGTGACTCCCCAAGTTACTGTCCCTGAGTCACATCCAATGACCCATGTATTTCCCTCCAAAAGCTTATCCTTTCCATCCACAATAACTTATTCACTCCAGATTATATACCAACTTCTTCCGATTTGACTACCTAGCCTAAAGAGGGGTGAAGCAAGGGGAGACACAACTCCAGCAACTGCGCCTATGTCATAAAAAAGGAAAGCGTAAAATGAAGCTAAGAAAAGACTAAAACACAACCTGTAAAACGTAGGCGAATTGGGGAGGGAACGGTGAGAAGCGGGGAGGAGATTACGAAAAAGGCAAAGAGGGGAGGGGGAAAGAGCGCGGAATTTTTGCCTAGCCAGGCGTGGGCGAGAGAACGAGTCGTTACGGTACATACAGCCAGAAGCCATTGGGCCAGGCCAGGCGAGACAATGATTGAGACGACAGGGAAAGGGGGAAAATATGTTTTTGTAATTTTTGGTATGGTACTGGCTTTCCATCGATAGGGGACAGCAGGGCAGTTTAGCAGGTGACAAGAGAGAATGGTACAGTGTCCGTTGCAGGCAAAATACAGGAGGAGGGAGTGAGCCTACCCAGCGTGGCTGGCACGGCCAGGTAGCCTCGGACGGGCTCGGTCGGGTAGAACGCATGTAGACAACCAGTGAATATATGCGTCACTAACCTCGACCAAAACACATCCTCTCCCATTCCTGGGCTCGACCTGCTTAGTACACGAGCACCTCCTCACCAGGCACGCGCTCGCGGGCGCTCTTGAGCACCTCCAAACCGGAGACGGCACGCCTCCTCACACGGCTCGCAAAGTTACGCAAACCGAGCTCATCCGCGCCGGAGGGCGGGCCACGCGGCTGACGCAGAATAGACGCCACCGGCGTGTGTGTTCCCGAGGGAGCACCAGAGACAGAAGCGCTTCGCACGTGTGGGCGTCCCATACCAAGGCCCTCGTACAGGCGCTTGGCAGCTTCCACGGGGACGGGGATGGCCGTGGCTGGGTGATGTACAGACGTCGGCGAAACCGACGTTGGCGACGACGAGGTCGGGGAGTTAGACAGCGCGGGCGGAGAGGCATCCATGATCGAGTCAACGCCCTCTTCATCGCTCGACGCCATTACGCTGGTCACGCTCTTTGGGGAGTGCGACCCGATGAGCTGCAGTGGGGATGGACGACGGCCGGACTTGGTGCTGCTACCGGTCGTAAGCCCCGGCGTGACAGGATATTCATCTGGACGGGAGACAACGACAGTAGGGGGAGAAGGCGTCTTCCGTGCAGGTGCGGGGGAAGCGCTGCTCCCACGGCGCCAAGACGTCGCAACGTCAGACTTGCGAGGCGGGGAAATGTGTCCAGGCTCCTTAGCGGTGCTGGGCACAACAAAGCCTGCAGTCAAAGGCGTGCTGGTGCCGAGCGTCTCCTCGGCGATGCTGGCGCTGCGGAACGTGCTTGCCTGCGGGTTGAGGCGCGTTCCGAAACGACCGGACAGGACCGCCGTCATTGGCTCTACCGCATCGAGAGCGCCACGAGAGGCACGACGTGCTGCAGCGGACGACGCAGCAGAGCGAAGGCTGTCAAACGACGTGGTGTGCTGGGACTGACGGGTGGTTTCGGCCTGTTGCTGTTGGGCGTGCATAGCAAGGAGCTGAGCTTGGGCCTGAGCCTGGTGCTGCAGAAGCTGATATAACGTCAATATATGCGGTTTTCTAAGCGGAAGATTTTGGTGGTAACTCACCTGAAGGCGCACAAGCTCAAGCTGAACCTGCTGCTGCCTCTGCATTTGAGCAAGAAGTATTTCCTCCTGTGTGTACCCCGACATGCCATACATCATTTGCTGTTGCAGATGCATAGCGTTAACGCTCGCATTGGGAGCGGCAGTCTGAGGGTGTTGGGCAAGCTGCATCTGCACGAACTGATCCGCGAGGATCTCGGCCTCCTGCATCTGGATTTGCGAGAAGGAGTCGACCGTCGATGAACGCGGGAAGTGCGAGGCAGAGGGTGACAGCAGCGGAGCAGTGCTCGGCACTTGGCTCGACACACTGCGGACGCCACCCGTGCGGAGGGAGGCGAGCAGCGAAGCGCGCTGGCTAGGTACGGTAGTCATGCTGCTTGAATTTGTTGAGTGTTGTTTGATTGTGTTCGTGTAGGCTGGTAGTAAACCGAGACAGAAAGGTAGACCGATAGCAAGGGCGAGTTCGACTCGTGAGCTGCGCGGTGCAGCGAGGTTGGTGGGTTGATACAGTAGTAAGTAGCAGTAGGAGGCGAATACAATTGCCCCAGAGATAGGAGATGTGCCTAGGCTTTCGAGGACGGTCGCCTAAGGGGTTGAACAGGGAATATTAAGGACGATAGAGTGCAGGAATGTACGGCGTTCGGGGAACTAGCAAGAAGGCTTTGCAGGGCTGAGCGGGCGTGCGTGTGTACCACTGCACGTCTAGGGTTTTCTGGTGTTTCAGCGTGCGCTGGCTTGCGTTGCTTGTTGAGGAAGGGGGCGATTGCTGGAATGGGGATTGCTTGGTTGGTGGTGGTTGGATTATGAAGGATATTGAGAGAAAGTTGAAAATAGAGAAAAGGGAAAGAAAAGGAGGATGGACAGAGAGAAGGTGGTGGTGGTGATGAAAGGAGGAGGAGGAGGAGGAGGAGGAGATTGTGTCTGTGTGGAAGGGCGCGGACGGCGGATGAAAAGGGAGAACGAGCACTGTTTGCTTCCTTGAATACTTCCGTACTCCGACAAAGCCTGATACATTGCACAGCCCCTCACTGTAATATCCCACGCAACCGAAGTGCATAGCAACGAGGAGAAGAGAAGCAAAACAACGGAAACGCGAAAAATGAGATAGCAGTTTGTATCGCCTACCGCAACTTCAACTCAACTTGTCGCACTCTTCTTCTGTCGGGAAGGGTTTGGCACCTGTCATATTGCGCAATATTACGGTGTACCAGTGCACCATCAATTCATACACTCGGAGAGCTATGGACCCCATGGAACAGCCATCCCTCTAACCCAAACGCGCTCGGCATCCCCGGTGCACCGCTCTCATCCTCCACACTGCTTCGTGTGCGTCAGCACACCGTGAAAGTCTCGACCTGCTATACCATTTCCGCTCTAACCATATTGTATTTAAGTTTTACTCTAGCGTCTAGACCAGTCCATTAGAAGCAGTACGTCGGCGCACAGGCCAATAAGGTCGTGTGCTCGAATCTTTTTTTGTCCCTCAGAGCCAGCCAATGCAACAGATTTGTCGAGGAAGCCCAGAATACCAGAAGAGATGAGGGACCGGGCAGAACAACAGAAGGTACCACGATAGGAGGAAGAAGAAAAGGCCTAGCCCTCTGTACACATTCATGGCGGACCCCGGTCCTTTCTCGGTGTTCCGCCCGAAATGGTAACATGTGCTGGCCTCCTCGTTTCCCCCTTACCCCTAAAGTGTTTGCTAGGGGTAGGGGACCGAATAGCTCTTCAATGCCAAGACAAGGGATGTTATAAGGAATGTGCTGATCATCGACTTTGGGAGCTGTGAAGGCAAGTTCGGACGAATTGCATTTATGCGGTGTAAGATTGCCGGATTGTGTCAATTCAACGATCGACTTTGCGTTCGGCGGTAACTGCGTTTCGTATCAACCATTGGACGATACAGAAGAAGGGGACGATAACGTACTCCAAGGCCTGCGATCCATTGGACACTGTTGCTTGCTACTGGCGGTGTTCAACCACTTCAGTAAACAATGCATATGGAATACATGGGTACACTGTCCCCAAACTGTCCACGCATAAGCCTCGCCCGTCGCGCAAGGTAAGCTAGAAAGAACGTACTCAAAGGACAGTCATCCCCGGGCATCTTGCATGTCGGACAGCATCCCTCGAACGAGACGCGGCAGATACCACAAACATCCTCCTCGGCGTCCTCGTCCGCATTAGCATCTTGATCGCCTGGCGCACCCGTATCCCATCGCCAATATGCAACAGCGTGCCACTGCTTAACAGTAACCTTCATCGTGCCTCAGAGCACGTCGTGCACTCTCCACAGCCTTTGTCAAACACGACCAGTCAACGCGACAGGCGGATAAAAAGGTCGGAGCCGAACACAAGTGGCGTTCCCGCATTCGAGCTCCGCTCCCGACCCGCCCGCACATGGAGAGCTTTCCGCCTCCATACCCGCAACGACCACCCTCGACCTCGCACGATGATTGCCCGCGCTGCTATTCGCCCCGTCGCCTCACGCGCCGTTGCCAGGTCTGCTGTCCAGTCCCGTGGTCTGCACGTCGAGAACACCGTTTATAACGTGAGTCCAAGTCTCTGAAAAAGTTGGACGGAAGTAAGTTGAGGGGTTGCATAGAACATGCCGTTCAGCTACAAGAATAAGAGGGTGTTCGCTGTGAAGATGAGCCTGTTCTTGGGCGTTGGGTGAGTGCACACATTGCGTGAGAGTCTGCATAAGATTGACAATGGGATGATTAGCTTTGCCCTTCCCTTCATTGCCGCCGCATATCAGCTGTGCGTCCTTCCTTCCACTTCTTTTGCTCTGGACCTGACATGTGTCATTATAGGAAGAAATCCGGTGGGACGACCCCCGCGTAGACGGACTGCAGGGTGAAATCAAATAGCGCAATGTTGGAAAGGATGCCATTGCATTGTACATAACGTTGCTGGTTGCAACTGTAACCGGTATCTAATGTCCCAAGTCACCTCGGGTGATATGCGTGATCGCGTGGTACAGGATATTCAAATTCTTCTTCAGAGATTCAGCTGCCAGATAGGTCTTCCTTCGCCAACAGGTCTTCCTCTTCCTCTTCCACAGGAATAGGATCAGACGGTGGTTGTTGTGCTTCGCTCTCATTGCGTATCTTGGTGCAGGAACACAGCTTGTCCAACAGCTCTGGTTGTGTCTGGATCAATTCCAAAGCCATGGCGGATGCTCTGCGGCTGGCTCCCGCACTGCTGCTATGGATAGACGTTGCGAGCACCTTCCCGTGAAGCACGACTGTAACAGCGACAGTCAGCTTGCACCCGCTGAAACAGTCTGTTACTTACAATCACACTGCACTTCCGTCAACAGGTCTGTCTCTGCCCTCGTCTTGGTCAGCTCGAAACGATGGCAGCCACGCTGCTGCAGAAGCGCGAAGAGCAGACTCGTGGGATGTTGTGAAAGCGTGTTCAGTGAGACACGTTTCATGAAGAACGGCTTGAACAGGCGGTCAAACACGTTCTCATAACCCGATGGATCGAAGGAGTCGGATACATAGATCGCACCTAGGAGGGCTTCGACTATGTCCGAGAGCACCTTTAACACCTCATTAGATCGTAATTTGAGGTCGAGATGGAACCATACCTTTGGGGGTTCTAAGGTGACCCAATATTCCCCGGGCGCTCTGTCCTCCGCCGCCGCTGCCGCGAGATCTTCTTCTTTTGCCTTCGTGATCTCTTTGGCATACGAAGACACAGTTTCTACCAAGTGAGGAGAGTCATGAATGATGTAATGATGCAGGCCTAGGTCGACGCAGAAAGCTGCTAAAGCAGCATTGGAGACAATTGCACCCTATAAGACCGTTAGCAACGAAGAGAAAATCAGTGGGATTACATGCCTTCAGCATCGTCAACCACCCTTCATGAAGTTCTCCCCATCGCATGTAGAGTAGCCGCACGGTTACTGTAGGGAATCAGCAGCTTGCTTGACAGCAGTAGTTTCAAAAGGAGGCACCGAAATCTAGAATTGCATCCCCAATGAACTCCAATCGTTCATAACACGGAAAGTCTGTAGAGGACATTGACGAATGGGTCTGATAATTTGATTAAATGACTCGTATAGTTGCTAACCGAGCACTCACCAATGCAGTCGCTGCTAAGAAAGGGTTCTTGAATTTGTGACCAAGGATCGCCTCTACGGCCTCAACCTTCGGTTGTGAAAGGGGTCCGATATCGAGCTCCTCGTGGAAGAAGATATGCGCATGGTCTCGCAGAAAGTCCCAAGATCCCATTCTTGTCATTGGTAGACCAAGGATATGGCAAACATACAGAGCCATTTCTCTTTGACCAGTCAGCCATGCTGCGCCTAACACCGCTTCCGCCACGTCGGCGACACTTTTGTCGCCCAGTTCCTGATGCTGCTCCTCTCTCATCAAAGCACGCTCTCTTGCAGAATACGGCATGGGTGACCTAGAAACAGTAGAATTGTCGGGACTGGTTTCAGCATTTGCTTGATGCGATTCCAGTGCTTTAGTTACACCGGACTCAGGAGGAGAACCGCCGGCAGTTGGTCCATCATTCGACGCTTCGATGCGCTCTTCCATTCCCTGTATAAATTTCTCCGATGTGTCTAGGGCGGACGCCATGCAGGGGTGATATAGAAGGAAGTTCGGTGGACACCATTGACGTGGGCTATGTTGTCGCGATTGAATATATTGCGGCAGCTGGCCAACTCTGTCGGAATGAAATTGCAGAGCCGAGTTGCTAATAATCCGTTGCCGATGAATATGTAGGGATCCTTCACCGTCTTGGGGACAAGTGACGAATAAGAATATCGATGAAATATACTTCAGAAATGAATCGCCTTGCGATAGATGTCAATCCATTGGTATGGGGGGATTCGATAGCGTGTGGCTTACCAAGCAATTCGAGCCGCTGATAATCATATCCTGCGCCAGCAGACGGAGAAGTCAGGGCAGGAAGAAGGAATACCTCATCGAGTCGATCGTGAAACACGACGCTATTGCACTCTTGCACTAATAGCATCTCTTCCACTCTCGCCATGACGGACGGCAAAATCATAGAAGTACGATATGAACTGCGAAATTTCAGATACTGTCGCGAGTGCAATGTACAGGAGCTTACCTGAGAGACAAGCAGTACTTGACGCACAGTTCTGGCATGAGATCTTGGATACATCAATAAAAGAGGTCGTTCATGAGATGGACCACGCACATTTAGCCGGTGGATTGCGGGATGATGGGGCAGAATGGCATAACGGGGATAACCGGCTCAAAGGAGGAGCCATTTTGCCGACCTCGATCAAGGGTTGACTCTCATCCTCAATTCCTTTGAAGTTGCGTATGTTGGCCCTGCAGAATTCGAGTATGCTCGCATACTGTTGCTCTCGCTATTCACAGATGAATACTGAGTGCTTGACAAAAGGAACGCAGACGCACCTCGCTGTCTTTCGGCTTTGATAATGGCGTCAGATCGTGTCGTACCCGGACAGGTTCGTACTTCCGGGTGAATTCCATCTGACGATCCTGAAGCACAGCATCTTTGACCTCCTCTTCTAACTTTTCCATATCGAGCGGCAGGTAAGGTAGTTGACCAGCACCTGCTTCCACGTCTGCCCAATCGATCTCATCCTCAATGGCATAGACCGATGGGGAGTTCGTAGGTCTGGTTCGTGGGCTCCATCCAAGTTTCAATGGCAAGAGATAATAGACCATCTTATCCCGCTGACAGATATATTGCCTGCTCGTGACGCTTCGAACTACTCGAATGGTATAACGATGCACAGCGATGAGCTGTTCTGGCTCTAGATGAAGTGGCTCGGAGCGGAGGAACCTGGCGGTGACGGTTGGAGGGGTTGCCTGGTCTTCCGATTTCTTCAGCTCCGGGAAGTAAAGCTCGAATGGGGCCAAGTCCGGTAGGCGAATTCGTGTCAGGAGACACATGGTACGGTAAACACCAGGAAGCTTTGCATCGCGCGCATCCAGATGGATGATGAACGGAAAGAGCACATCATTATGAACCAGTAGACATGTGTTCCATACATCCGGTTTCTTGCGGGGATAGAGCTTCGAGCTTCTGTCTTTCCTGCTGCGACCCTTGGACAGTTTTCTTTCGACATCAACACCAACTTCATTGTCAAATACGGATGGTGGTGTCACCTTCGTGATGGTCTTGAGTTTCTTGCCCGCCTGCGCGACCAGAGCACCCAACAAGCCTCGTGCGTTCAGTTCTTCGCATGCCATGTAAGCGGCTTGACGGCGAGCAGCGGCTTTGGAAGGACACGATTCGCTTGTCACATCCTCCAGCTCGGCACTTGGGGGAAAACGGATTGTGCAACGGAAGATGCGGTTGTTCTCGCCCATGACGTGGTAGTCTACATTCAGTGAAACAGCAGATTTCTCTTTAATGGATACATAACGCGTTAGAACCTGTAATGCATCCAAGGCGGAAACGCGTGCTCCAGTTTCCGGGACTAGGATAGATGCTTGGTCCTCATCTTCGCTATCTATGCCCGTTGACCGTGGATGTTCTGCAGCAGGTGGAGTAGATTCCTCTTCGGATTTTTCTTTAGATCGACGTGGTAAAAATGCTGAAAGTGCTTGTATGTCTTTTTGTTTTCCTTTCTCTATCAGAATCAAGAAGATACTGGTGATTTTGAGCAGGTGAGATTGCCGCTGGAGAGGGCATCAACCAAAAATGATATGGAAAAAACACAACAACAATAACAATAACAGAAAACGTACCAGCTGGCCAGCGGCATGGGCGGAAAAGCTATCAAACACAATTACGATGCTGCAGCGCTCCACGGAGAGGTCGACTCCGATGCCCGTCGTTACAAGCAAGTTAATCGTACCATCCCTGAACTGAGTCGTCGCCTGAGTCTTAGTGAGGTGGTCCGCATTGGGATCCATCAAGACCGCCGAACTTCCGATGAGCGGCCGCGCTCGAACATTTGGGAGAACCTGAGCATTTCTGTTCAGTAGATCCGCCAAGGCTTTCGCAGTAGTACGCCTATAAACTGGAAGTTTCTTAGTTCTGACGGATGATTTCCAGTGAAGGTACGTACCAAATATAATGCCCCTGAAGCGATCCTTTTCCTTTGCCATCATTTGCTTCAGAACTTGCAGGAGCGTGAGAAGCCTAGGAGACGCATTGCAATCTGTGCTCTGCGGATCCAAAACAATTGAAGGAAACTTATGTGCTCGAACCATGTCGACCAGTTTGGAGCGCATCTCTTCCACTTCGGAAAAGCTTGCAGGGACACGTTTTTCTTTGACGAGTCCATTTCGACGCGCTTCTTGTGCCCCAGCATAGCGTTGCCAGATCATGTCAGCGGCATATGGACCAAGTTCGGTCACTCTGTTGTAGATATGATGAGAGACACCTTCGACAATAGATGAGTTCTGCATACAATAGTTGAACGCTCTTGAAGTTTTTCTTGAATACCAATTCATCCGGATCCAATGCGTGGATCTGGTTATACAGCGGTCCTAAGCTAGCCTCCGTGAATGGACTCGGATCACAAGGTAGCACAAGCTCAGTAGTCGTGGTGGACGCCGCTCGAGTCTTCCCGCCATAGATATGCCTTGGCGCGGGCTCCAGAGGAGGCACCTCTTGACTGAGTTCAAACTCAATCTCTTCGACATCGTCACTGTCATCGCTGTCATCAATCGCAACATGTCTCTTTCGCTTCTGTTAACATGTCAACGATGCCAGGAATTACTACAGAGTATGCGCACTCTGAGGTTCTCTTCGCTCGAGACATTGTTCGAATCCGTCACACCCAAGGCGACGTCTTCATGACCCAAACTACTCTCGGCATCACGCTGTGCTCGACTTGCCTGCCTCTGACGCTCCCTACTTCTCTCTGCATCTTGTATGCGTTCTTCTCTATCCATAGAGCGGAATAAAGAGATATCAAGGCTCGTCACGTATGATCATTCTCGAGCAGCAGTTCCTCGACGCCGTGGTTAGTACTAGTTGCCAGCAGAAACGCCGAAGCGAAAGAGACCCTGGCTTGCGTGTTGCGCGGAACCAGAATTCACACTTACGCGTCGTTCGAGGCGTCGACCAGGTTGCACGCATACCGCGCATACATCTCTCTTATTCTCCCTCAACCCTCATATCATCTTGATCAATAACCATGGCTGAAGGAGGACGCAGTGGTGGAGCTTACAGGTATGCAGCAGTGCTAGTTGACGATGGGCCATGCTCACGGTCGTTCAGCTTCTCTCTTACCACCTTCAACCCTTCCGGGAAGTTGGTACAGATCGAGCATGCTCTTGCAGCTGTCTCTCAAGGAACGACAAGTCTCGGTATCAAGGGTGAGGTTGACCTCCCCCTGGGAATTATTTGGCTAACCTTAGGTCAGCATCGAATGGTATCGTCATCGCAACCGAAAAGAAGGCGTCCTCGATCCTAATTGACGACAGCATGATTGAGAAGGTGTCTGTCATCTGCCCGAACATTGGGATAGTCTATTCCGGGATGGGGCCGGACTTCCGTGTGCTAGTAGGGAAGGCGAGGAAGAGCGCGCAGGCATACTGGAAGATGTATGGGGAGTACCCGCCGGCTAAGGTGCTCGCGCAGGAGATCGCAACTGTGATGCAGGAGGCCACGCAATCTGGGTGAGCATCCTTGTTCAATGAACGCAGATGGTTACTAACTGCTCTTACAGTGGTGTCAGGCCTTATGGTGTTTCACTGCTCGTTGCTGGCTGGGACGACCATCGCGGACCGTCACTCTATCAGATCGATCCTTCTGGTTCCTTCTGGGCCTGGAAGGCGAGCGCAATAGGGAAGAACATGGTCAATGCAAAGACCTTTCTGGAGAAACGCTACCACGATGATATCTCGTTAGAGGATGCTATCCACACCGCCCTGCTCACCCTCAAAGAGGGTTTTGAGGGCCAGATGACCGAGAAGACACTTGAGATCGGCGTCATCACCGTTCCAGAAGGCAACACGCTGACGATGAAGGACGGGCGCCCTTTACCGACATTCCGGAAACTCACGCATGAGGAGATAAAGGATTATCTGTAAATTACTGTTGCAATGCATTACATCTCCTACGAGTCTGCATGACTACCAATTGTGCGATATTCCAGAGGACCTGACCTATTATCTGTATCCCCCATGTTTGGGCTTCGTGGGATATTGTGAATCTATCACTGAAAACAGGCATTTAGGAGATAATTTTGAATAGGTATGAAGCCGATCACATGTGGTTACCCTCTCGCATGCCAAATCGTTGTTTTCAGCCGGCGGCGGCAACAGTTCGCTGCGACCTTGATTAACACACGTCCAGGTTTACGTTAACCACAGTACAGAAAGACGCAGGTGTCATTTGAAAGCCTTCTCCGATACATACAGTACGTTAGCGAACAGATGTAACAAGCATCGATCGTTCATTCGAGCTGCCCGCTCTTGCCTGATATGCGAAGAAGCACAGCGATACCATTTAGAAGTAAGTGGGAGGGGGTAAGTTGGGACGAATAGCGTAGTCCCAGACTTGAGAGCGTTGTCAATTCATAGTCAAACAATTCAGTCAGAGAGGACTTACGCGGGGCGTCGATGGTGTAGTTGGCCGGGGTCAACGAAAGAATGTACGTGGTGTCAAAGGCACCAGCCTGTATACGACGTTGCATGAGTATAACGGCAGCGTTGAAAATGGATGAGAGCCCACAGCCCAGGCGGAGAAGCCAACCATAGTTGGGTAGTTATTCTTGATGAAAGCCAGCTCCTCGCCGAGCATCGTGAAGCAGCTGGAATCGTTTCTCCCGCCACCAGTTTCGGACAGGATTGCTTGCCTATTCCCGTTTGCCTTGAGCCAGGTGACGAGCGTCTGGAGGATATCAGTGTTGTTCGTCACGTAGTTGGTGTGAGTGCCGGAATTGTCGTAGTCGAGGTACTTGTGGACGTCGAACAGGAGACGTTCCTTAGAGCCGGGATATGCGGGATCAGTGAGGTTCAACAAGTATGGTCCCATTTCGGTGGGCATGGCTGCGGCGGACGTCCAACTCGATCCTGGCATGAGGATATACTGGGATACAGAGCCGGCAGCGCGGACAGCGTTGATCGCACCTTGGACCGCGGGTGGCCAAAGGGAGTTATCGGGCAAGCTGCGATGATGGTATCAGTTTCCAAATTTAGTCAATGGGGGAGCTTTGCTCGTGGGGTTCGTTCATGAGCCCATACTGTAAGAATAGAGTAAGAGGCCACCCCTCACAAAAGATAAGCGAACACTCACGATGACACGAGGTTCGTTCTTGTAAAATGAGGCCATCTGGTACCACAAGCTGGCATACTGTTCAATAGTCGGGCCACCCTGCAAGGTCATTCAGCCTACCTACTTACCCCTCACACGGGACAATCCTACCTGGTTGATGATCTCTCCGTTCCAACGGGCATAATTATGTACATCAAGAATCACGTATGCGTTCGTGGCCAACGCAGTCTGTACAACTTCGTTGTAGTAATGCAACTAGGTGTAGTTAAGCGGCCCGCCAACGGTGGGTGTCGCGAGCTGCCAGGCAAAGGGGAGACGGTAGAGGTTGGTCCCCTGAGGAGAGAAGTGGCCGTATTGGTATAGCGGGGGCTGAGCTGAAAGCACATCAGCCAGGATCGGAAACGAAGCGGCTTACGTACTGCCAGGACCGTCGAACGACCCGTCGGTGTAGACCATGAAGTCGTAGCCGGCGGTGTTGACACCTCCCAGACGGGGTATGGCCACCGCCGCCGAAACGGCGAACCCGAGAGCAGTAGCGAAAGTAGCAGTCCTCATGCTTGCAAGGAAAGAACGAACGAGGTACAATCCTCCCAGCCTGTCCGCCCTTCAATTTATAGCAAAAGACGGGGAAGTGTCTTCCGTTCATTCCGCTCGTGCCTGATCTACAGGTGGACGGTTCTCCCCATGCGGGATAGACCGGCGCATCCTCAAGCCACATTCTTACATGTGCACCGAAGAACCTCCATCGGGCATGAGATACTCTCCGCGTTGACAATACTGACAGCGGATAGGAGAAACAGAGGTGCCAGGGGAAGTGTCGCCGGTTGACAGAATACCCAGACGCGGTCAACTGCCAGCGGAGCCGCCGAAGGGTAGAATCGACGAGAAAAGATACAACTGCTTGTTGAACTTGAAGAATGTAGGACGACTGCTTTGGAATATGGCCAGACTTGAGCCAAAAATAATTCACTGAGAGAAGCGTGTTAGGCTTGGCACTCCAGAAACTTGGCTGGGTTGGGCGGAGCGCGCAGGTTTTTCCGGGTTGATCGACGGCCGGGTTGGGAGTTCTTCCTCGTGCCAAATCGGATCCCAATTCAGTCACGCATTATCTTTCGAAACGCCGGTCAATGCCAAGCCATACATGTCATACCTGTCCTAGACGGAGATTCCGCGCAGATACACAACCCTTCCGAGGACGACAAACCACGTCTTGAGCCAGTGTAGTTCCCACCTCTCTCCGGGCGGCGCACCATGATCAAGGAGCTCCTTTACAGCACCGGAGGTCTCGCATGGGTGGAGGAACCAGCACATTCTGCCTGTCGTGGGGTGTTCCCCTTGTGTGAGGAGGGGGATGGGAGAGGCATCTGATTCCGGGCCGGGGAGGTCGATGGTGTGCTGCTCGATGTTGAGGGTAGACAGGGGGAGGGGAAGATGGAACAGCTGGGAACGGATAAGCGCTGGTAGGGAAAGAGGTGAACCACCTGTATTGATGTTGTTAGTGGCGGACTAGACAAAGCAGGGAAGAGCGAACTTTCGTCCGAAGCGGAGAAATAGAAAGCAGGCACTTGAAAGGTTGAAGAGAAGACGATGTTTTCGTCTACTGTCATGCGCTCGCTTGGAAACTCTGTGGCGGCGGCGGGGTCGTCAGGCATTTCGGGCATGCCGAGATCATCATCAGTGGCAGCAATAGTCGGCGATGACACGCTTCGATGTCCCGTGAGAGAGACAGTCCGATTGAGGTATCCGTATCCCGGAAAAGTCTATCAAGCAAGCGCCATCGCAGGAAGGACCAATATAGACAGAACAAGCAAAACAGGACGATGTTCGCATTCAGCCTAGCACATACTTTGCTATAAACAGCCTAACCGGATGATCTTTCCACCTCCAGCCATCCCGGATCTGCCTGAGCAATAGCGGATCCTCCTCTGGGAATTCATCGACTTCCTTCAGCCAAGCCCTGCATGCACTCTCGAACTGGTGTCGATTAAGCGTCGCCGACCAACTACTATCAGGCATAGACATGACAAGTCCAAAGCCAAGAATGAATTGCACCCGCTCCATGGCGCTGTTTCGCCGACCAGCCCTAAACGCCGTAAACCTGTACAGCTTGTGGCTGAGTTTTGACATTTGCATCCGCCATGGAGTGCTGTTACACAGCGCGTTGAGATTGAACTCACTCTTCACTACTACCGCGCACCTCACTCCCTCCATCTTCTTGTACGTATACTTGTGCTGGTTAACCACTCGTGCTGATAAGTGTCGATAGACAGGGGCTGCAGACATAAGGCAGCATGGCCGTAGGCAAGGTACGTTCCATGTGGCGCACAACACATTTCTCAGGACGAGTTACTCACGCTCTGGTGTAGAACAAGAGGTTATCAAAAGGCAAGAAGGGTATCAAGAAGAAGGTCGTTGACCCATTCTCCCGCAAAGGCATGCATGCTCCCGTCTGCACTTCCGTATCTGCTGCTCACACTCCGTAGACTGGTTCGATGTCAAGGCACCGAGTGTGTTCGAGGTCAAGAACGCAGGGAAGACACTCGCAAACCGGTCACAAGGCTTAAGTACATCTGTCATCCTTTCTCAGTCGTACAAGTGTGCTAACTTCACACAGAAAACTCTGCCGACTCTCTTAAGGGACGTGTGATTGAGCTCTCCCTCGGCGATCTGAATAAGGATGAAGAGTCTTCCTTCCGAAAGATCAAGCTACGAATAGACGAAGTTGCAGGCAAGAACTGCCTTACAAGCTTCCATGGGATGGACTTCACATCCGACAAACTCCGTTCTCTTGTCCGCAAATGGCAATCACTCATCGAGGCCCATGTTGACGTGAAGACGACCGATGGTTACCTGATTCGGATGTTCGCGATCGCTTTTACCCGGAGGAGACCTACGCAGGTGCGCAAGACGACGTATGCGCAGAGCGCGCAGATCCGCGAGATCCGTAAAAAGATGTTCGAGATCATGACACGCGAGGCATCGAACTGCGACATGAAGGAACTTGTGCAGAAGTTCATCCCGGAGGCGATTGGGCGCGAGATTGAGAAGGCTTGCAAGAGCATCTATCCTCTGCAGAATGTTTACATTCGCAAAGCGAAAATCCTCAAGAGCCCGAAGTACGATCCGTCAAAGCTCCTCGAGCTGCACGGGGGTGAGGCGGCCGCAGCTGATGAGACGGGTGCGAAGGTAGCGAAGGAGTTTAAGGAGCCTGAGATTCTTACTTCTGTATAGTCTTCTTTGCACGTATGAGTATGATGATGGTCTACATGTTGTTCCGTATGCCCACAAAATAGGAACGTATGTCCGCCAATCTCGAATGAGTAAAGTAACGAAGAGCATGAGTACGTATTTATTGGAAGCCAACTATGTAGTACGACACTACGCAGGTCTCTTCCTCTCCATCTGCTTAACCCTCGGATCACCCCTCTCCATCCTCTTCCTCAACTTCTGTTGCCTCTTACTTTCTCCTCCAGGGGCTTCCTGCGCCTCCGCTCCAGCCCCAGCTTGGCCCGCAATTGCGGAAAATGCTTGAACAGACTGCCGCAAGGAGGGGAGGAAGAAGGTAGCGAGTTTGTATAGGGCATAAGCTGGGATCTGGGGGCTATCAGTGGGACTTCTCTTGGTATGAAGGGAGTGACGTACGAGCAAATAGAAATACCAGACCCATCCCCCCAGTGCACCACTGCCAACCTCGCATCCCCAAGTCACAAACACCAGATCCCAAGCCCACTCTGTCATTCCCGGTGCCGCCAAGTCCTCCCCCGGACTGAGGAGCGCGCCCGAAGGGTCAAAGCGTGGTGTTCCTGAAGTGATAAGATAGCGATACGCGAGCAGTGAGGGGAGCAAGGTGAGAATGTAGAGAGCAATCTGGGAAGGTGGAAAGGAGCGAGATTGGAGCAGGTAACGTAGGAGAAGCCAGTTAATCTGTTCTTCGTGTGAGGGCGAGTGAAATGGCATGAAGCAGGAGTACGTACGTTTGCGAGTGCCATGCCAATGTTCAGTATTCGCAGTGAGCGCTCGTTTGCGGCTGCGAGTTTTTTGGAAGCTGCGTTAGCCTACATAGCAGTATTAGTATTCCTAGTTGGTATTGGATATTGGAAAACTGTACCATTGGTTATTAGCTTTTAATGTGTAAGAGATGATGGTATTATTATAAAGTTGCCAATGTAATGGACAGTACTAGTCTAAAATGGACCCTTATAGAAGGCGTCTATTTCCCGCAGTCATCTCCTGTCCTCTCCTCAACGTTCGACCATGTCCATCCCCCGCCCTTCCCTCTCCACTTCCTATGGACGACCACCATCCCCCACCTTATCCCACAGATCACAGTCTACCGTATCTGTAGCAGCAGACTTCGCAGGCGCACCATCCCGCATCATTAGCAAGAAAGGCCTGCGCGCCAGTTTAGCGGCGTACGATGAGGTGTGCACCTCACCAGCCTCCTTCCCACGAGCTAACGTTCTCTGGCAGCTTATCACCGCAGGAAGAGCATACCGACTCTCCCTAGCCCAGATATCAAAAGCACGGGAATCGTTTGCACTCGCAATCGAGCGCTGCGCCCGGCTAAAAGGAGTATCGGACGAGTCCTCAGGTTTCCTAGCTGCTTCAGGGCTGCACTATCTCATCGCCAACCAGGAGCAGGTCCTCGTAAGGTTTTCAATGTGTTTCATTGTTGCTGCTGAGAATTGTAGGGGGACACGATGCTGAAGATGTTCGAGGAACCTTTAGCGCAGGGGCTGGAAGCCTACAGAGTTAAAGTGACCGTACGTCACCCTCTTCTCCTCACGCGTCCCACTCATCCCCAACCCAGGATCGACAAATAACCTATGACCGGTCTCTCACCGAGCTCTCCCTCCAAATCCGTGCTACCGAAGCTGCTAACATCCGACACGGCCTGAAGCGACAACGTGATCTCACAAGCTTCCGCACAGCCCTCTCTACCCTCCAAGCGCAAGTCGACGCGCTAGACAGGCTCAAAGCGGAGTACTATACCTCCGTGCTCTCCTTCGAGGAAGAAACATGGGATACTGTACTCAGCAGAGTGGGGCACGTCGTCCGCAGCACACTAGACATCTACGAACGCGTCAGTGCGAAAGGGAGCGACTTAGCACTGGAACCGATCTTGGCACGCGATCCGGACCCATTTAACGCTTATGGAGAACCGCAGGAAAATAAGCTGTTTAGCATCCTCACTCCTTTGGGGATGATATCGCCTTCTCTTACGACGGTGGGTGGGTTTGGCCGATCGGAAGGCGGGCGTCACGGCGTACCGGGTGGTGAGAGGCAGGCGGAGATGGAGCCAGAAGCAGAAGGAACACCCGCAAGAGCACCACAGCCCGCATGGGGGCACCACAGCCCTGCAGACCTAGACCGGCCGCACTGGGGAGAACCGGACTCTCCGCGGGGATTTTATCCCCGCCTATCGGGGTATTCTGCTAGCTCGGCCATAGCGGAGGCGGACCCGCATGCGGTCAGCGGAAATGGGGTGCCTGGGGAGGCGGAGGGGCAGGGGGAGAGGGAGAGCCCGAGGAGGAAGGAGAAACGCTCGAGGCTGGGAAGGATTGACGAGCAGTTCGAACGGGGGCGGAAAGGCCCGGAGCTCGCGGAGGCGGGAGAGAGCACAAGTACGCCGACGCCGATGCCTGCGTCTACGTCCGCACGAGCGACTGGCGTCCCTGGCAGCAGAACACCAGTCAGTGGCGCTGAGCTCGATGCGCGCGACCAGCTGGTTGGCAAGGGGATTAGAGAGGGTGCGGAGAGTGCTGAGCCTGAGGGATCAACAACCACAGAGGCGATAGCGACTGAGGATTTAGATTCACCACAAGCGGCGTCCCCTTCGGCACAGGAATCAACCACAGTGCCAGAACCACTTCCTTCAACGCGCGACGCTGCAAGACCAGCTACTAATCCCTATTTTCCCGATCTGGACAGTCTGAGGGACGTAGGGGAGTTGGAGGCCGTCCCCGTTGATGGTAATCCAAAGCCCGGACGAGGAGCACAGGCACCAGGGGTAGGAGAGGGGGAAGGCGACAAGGCGGTCGATGCAGGAGATAAGGCAGAGGAGTTGGGAGAAGAGCGCCTGATGGAAGAACCTGCCCCTTGGGAAGGGAACGACGCGAGGGCAGACGGCCAATAATCGACGGGTTGAGAGGTGAATGGATTGCGACTCCTTTTCATCTGTATATAGCTACAATATCGGACGCTGCGATCCCTGTCTCCACCTCCCATTCGGGCCGGTGCTGAGCTCCTTCCTATCTATCCTGTCTTCTGTCTCCTCCTTCTATTCGGATTATGGGGCTTCGGTCGGTCAATTATCATTATTCTCCCTCTTGTCCTTTCCCCAGTCTTCACTCAACTTCCACTGTTCTCGCATTAGCGTCAAGCTCGATTGTTCAACCGACTGCAAGCCAGCCGTTTCCTCGCCAGCCCACACGTCATGCGCCAGTTTATCCCTGTGCTTCTGTCTCCGCCCCTTTCCTGCCCGTATGCCATACATCCCCAGCACGCCCTCCCTGGCTGGCGAAGGACTGCCAAATAGGGGGTCTCGCCCTTCCGCAGTTTTGGGGAAGGCAATCACCTCCCGGATCGAGGGGGTGTTGCAAAGGATGGACATAAGCCGGTCAAACCCTATCGCCATAGAGATGGTAAGTATAATGCTGTGTGGATGCTACCTGGCAACATACCGAGCGCGATGCCTGCATGGGGTGGTGCACCGCTTCTCAGGGATTGCAGGAGGTGATTGAACCGCGCCATCGTTGGTTTGTTCAGCTGCGGCACGGGTCAGCACAGCCGGACTGATCTAGACGGCAGAAGAGCCGAGAGTCACCTTGAGAATTTCCTCCATGATGAACTCCTGCAATACAGCGTCGTGTATACGAACAGAACCGCCACCGATCTCCATCCCGTTGAGGACAAGGTCGTAGTGCTGCCCCCGGACCTGCAAGATGCTGTTAGCGGCAATCCGAGACGGTGCAGACAAATCCCACCTTTTTCAGATGACGCGATTCTCCCATCATGAGCACATCAATGTCCTCTGGCATTGGGGCCGTGAAAGGATGGTGAGAGCTGGACCATTCACCTCCCACGAGGTCTGCTTTCTCCACGTCCTTCGTGAAAAGTGGGAACTCGGTCACCCACAGGAAGTGGGGCTCTTTCGGCGGCGTGTACTTCCCTAACAACAGGTGTCAATCACATCTGGGAGCAAGTATGGAATACACACCAAGCTTTTCTGCTTGCTCTGCCAGCGCCAACCTTAGACTGCCCAGAGGTGTTGAGCCACCCTAGGTGTGATGAGCGCTTGGGGTGTCCCGAATCCGGAGTCACATACCGAATGATAGTCATCCCGCCACCAAAGGAACAGGTGGTCTCCAACCTCGAGGCTCAGACTGTTGTTCAAGTCCCTCATAAGATCCGTATTGTTCCCAAATCTAACCTGGGGGTGGTCCGGAAGCCAGCTCATCAAGTTGTCCTCAGAAATCGTGATGCGCTGAATCTCAGAGTTGGGCTTCTTCCCAAGGAAGCGCAGGTCCCGAGTCGCAAATGGTGACTCTCGCGGTATGCGGAGACAGTCAACGGCACGGCACTGTTCAGTTTTTGCTGTTCGAATTTCTTCCTGGTATTCCATGGGCATGAGGGTAGTGAGATCGACGATCTACGCAAAGACATTGGTTTCTAACATCTCTACAGCAAAGCATAGCGCACCTCCAAAGGTATCCGTGTATCCGGCTTGTCTGAGCCATACTGACGACAATCTAGTCAGCGAGATCCCGCAACTTAATGCAGGCTTACTTTAGTCATAGCTTCCTGATACGTGATCGTCCGGAAAGTTTCAGGCAGGCGGACCCCTTCCATCTCTTCCCATATACGGCGTATGATCATCTCGATAGCATCTTTCACTTCGACCCCGCCTATTCGCCATCCACTGACGAGATCGTGCTCCCTGGGTGCCCACGACACAAATCCCATTTCCATATCAAGTTGAGTGAATTCCGGCTGGCGATCCTTGCGGCCATCCTCGTCCCGGAAACAACGCGCGAACTGATAATACTTTTCTATCGCTCCGGAACAGATCAACAGTTGTTTGGCTTGTTGCGGAGATTGTGCCAAAGCGTAGAATGTTGGTGGACTCGGAGGATCTCCACTTTCGTGCGGCACCGCTTCACCCTGCTGGTTTAGCGGGTGCAACCTAGTAGGCACGAGAAACTCGCGGGCTCCTTCCGGCGTAGAATTCAGCAACACGGGTGTTTCGACATCAAGGAACCCTGAAGTCAATATCAGACTGTTCTTGCCGAAGAGAATGAACCGTTAGACCTTGATGATCCAGAACATTGCGGATTACACGGGTGACCCTGCTACGTTTTCGGATATTGTTTGCCAGATCTTCTCGTCGAAGTTCTAAGTAGCGATACTTATTCCGGAATTCTGCGCTAGGCTACGAGGACATTAGCGATCTCAAACAGAGGGAAATCCTCGAACTGACCAAATTATCTGTTTGGGTTGGGTAAAATGCCAATGGTCGTTCGGCAGGGTTGAGTAATGTAAACTTCCTCACAATTAGTTCGACCTGCCCTCTTGCGCCCTGCAGCCGAATTGAGGGCGCGCAATTTTTAATGGAAAAAAAACTACTCACCTCCTTTCGGGCTTTGGATGGCCTAGCTTGTACAGTACCCTCAATAGATATAATCGATTCTGGAGGCAATTCTGCCAGGTCAAGCTCGTGTGGCATGTCCAGGTCGGCGGAGCGATACACGAGCTGAATGGTGCCGGTGTAATCCCTAAGAATAATGAATGACATGGAGCCGAGTTTCCTGCAGTATTCAAGTTAGATCGTGGTAAGGGCCGCAAGAGATGCCCGTGCCTAGCAGTTTGCAGCCATCCAGAAAGAATAACACGCTGGCCATGCTCCGATTCCGAGAGTGCATCACAATACGCAGTCCGGATAGGAAATCCGCCTTTCCAGACCAGCCGTTCATTAGACATATAAAGTTAATGGAATAAAACATAAACACCATTATGTGCTCGATACCGCGGGTTCGCGGTGTTACTAGCCGGAGAAGACAAGGAAACAAAGTCCTCGACTTGAGGAAGACCTTGGTCGATTATGGGGCCTGTAGCATGCACTCTCCCAGAGAAGGCCGCCCTGCTCCAGGATTTGCTGCATACGCGACTACAAGCTGACGTAGACCCAAGTCCCAGAACGTACTCAGCGAGCTGTAGTCCTCTGCGCATCTCTCCAAGTTGATGGACGCGAGAAAATCTCTTCAGGGTCGACATGGCAAAATTTGGTGGCGGTACGGTGAGAAGCAACCAATGATAGCGTCAACATCATTCACAGTACTAGTGTATCTACCGCTACATGTCCAAAATAATAAAGTCGATACTGAACACAATATTAGACATAGAACTACAACCTTAGCGATGAACCGTCCAATTGACCCACTCCTACTGCTTCTTCTTGTTCTGGTTGTTATTGTTGTTATTGTTGTTGTTATTGGCGGCCTTGACGGCATGTTTGGCGGTTGTAGCCGCAGTCTTCGCGGCTTTAATGGCCTTGCCGGCCTTGGCAGCTCCCACTGCGACCTTGGCGATGGTGGCAGCGGTTGTGACAATTTTGAGTGGTGGAATGAAGGTCGACACTACGTTCCCCACAACTTCAACAACCTTTCTGACGATCTTCCCAGCGGTCGAATTCCAGGCCTTCTTAACTCCCTGCGCAACCTTCACGGCTGCCTTCTTGATTCCCTGCCCAACCTTCACTGCGGCCTTCTTGATTCCCTCCCCCACCTTCTGGAAACCCTTCTTGATAGCACTCCCCGCCTTCTGGAAGCCTTTCTTCAGCTTACGACCAAAAGCTTTGAAGGCATCCCCGATTTTTGACCGTTTTCTCAGACGGTTGTCATCCTCCTCCTCGGAAGTGCGGGTGTTGATATCCTGAACATTTGTCACTTGTCAGATAGCGCGTCATGGGGCCTCAGAAACAAGACTGACCTTCTCCACAGTATACCGCGCTTCGAAATCTCGACGCAGAAGCACCTCACCGTTCGGGAGGCCGGCAAGGTCGAAATCTCGATCGGCGAGATAGTGCTCCGTTATGTCATCCCAGGTCCGGGAGCGTTTATACAGTCGGTGAGGGGTGGGAAGTGCAAGGATAGGATGTACAAGTGTGACCAGATAGAGTAGATAGTAGAATCTCATAGTTGCTGATTTGAGCAGATCTTGGTTGCGAAAGGATGCAGGCGACCAGCGCCTGTAAGGGTGAAATAATGAACGAGCGTAAGTGGGAGATACGAGAGGCCTGCTGCTGAGGAGATGGCATCCTGGCAGTCTCTATTTACGCAAGTTGCCATCTTTGCGATACGTACGGTTGTACACTGCTTAGGAGGCCGGAGAACACGGAGTTGCCTTGGTGTTGATCAGATAGTCAGTGCAGACCTGTTCGGAGTCATCAGACATCACTCCGTGCGACGTGTCCAGTCCAGATCAAAAACCTGATATTAGGGGTCCCTATCTAGCTCTTGCCCAAGTCCTGCCGGAAAGTTGAAGTTCATTAATCTTGATTGTGCATATGGTAACCGAGCAAGGAAACCTATCTATTGTCAAGTAGATTTTCAGGCAACGGAGGAGACGCACTAGTGACAGGTCGTGTGCTAGTCCAGATCGCACAGCTTGCATGGGAGTAGCACCTCACCATAGCCACGACTCTGATCTCCCCGCAATCTGTAACGCTTGATGGGGGTTACTTCGCCTTGGGCGCTATCATCATCGATATCGAAGCGCATATAAAGGCTACATGTCCAGAATAACGCTGTAAATACAGGATACTGCTATATAGCTACATCCATATCCATGGCCACTCCGCATTCCAATTCACCTGAACGGACTAAGCCATACATGGACTTAGTGCTTCTTCTTCTTCTTCTTCCCCCCCCCATCTGCCGCCGCTGCCGCTGCGGGTGCCGCTGCAGGCGGTGTGTTCGAATTCCCGTTGTTCGATGAAGCGTTGTCCGTGGCGGCATCTTTGGTTTGGTCTTTGGCTTGGTCTTTGGCTTGGTCTTTGGCTTGTTTTTTGGCTTGTTTTTTGCTGAGCTTCTCGGTGGCTTTTTTGCCGACGTTCTTCGCGGTTTGCCCCGCCGCCTTGACGCTGTCTTTGGCGGCTGAGGCGGTCTCCTTGGCCATCTTGACACCTTTGCCGACAGTCTTGCCGGCGGCTTTGCCCACATTTGCGGCGCCTTTGACGAGTTTGCCAAGTTTGGCAGCTCCCGAGGCAACTCTGGCGGCAGTGAAAACTCCTGCGACAGCTTCGAGTGGCGGTAAGATGGCTCCGGCTATGGTCAAGGCCACATCGACAACCGTCATGATGATCTTTCCGGCCGTTGTCTTGACCCATTTCACAACCTTCTTCGCTACCTTCGCGACACCCTGCCCAAACTTCTTGAAGCCCTGTCCAACCTTCTTGAAGCCCTCCTTCAACTTCTCTCCAACCTTCTTGAAGCCCTGCTTCACCTTCTGTCCAAACTTGTGGAAGCCCTGCTTCACCTTCTCTCCAAATCGTTTGAATTTCTCCTTGACGCTTGTTCGTTTGCTCAGTGAGGTATCGTCATCCTCATCGGGGCTGCGGGTATTGATATCCTTCAATCTGTCAGACAACGCACCGAAGGGTCATGTATAATGTCCCTCACCTCATCCGCCAAGAAACTTGCTTCAAGATCTCGACGCAAAAGCATCTCGCCATTAGGAAGACCAGTGAGATCGAAGTCCCGCTCCGAAATGTAGTATTCCGTTATATCATCCCACGTCGGAGCGCGTTTACGCAGGGGGTCCGGGATGGGTAGGGCGATAATGGGGTTGATTAGTGCCATCAGGCAAAATACGTAGTAGAGTCGCATAGTTGATGAGATTTGGAGAGTGATTCTCCGGAAATGGTGGCGACCAGCGCCTGGGATATTGCGATATTGGATGAAGGGGGGGTAAACAGAGTAACGAGACAGGCCAGCTGCGACGAAGGGGCTTATGCGGACCTCCTTATTTAGGTGGTTGCACAGAGACCCCTTTTTCCGAGCGGAATGAACGACGGCTTCACAGCATTGCGCATATGCGATGCGCGTGACCACGACCGTTCGAGGGCGCAGGGCACAGCACGTGAAACCCTAAGCTACCATACGGTACACTGTGACATCCGACTCTCGTGACAAAATCTGTGCATAGACGCTGACTAAGATACCTAGAGATACAAGCTGTCATTACGTTTCTTCCTGATGAGCGTGTTCATATTCAACTCCCCAGGATCGTCTATATCCGAAGGATTCCTCCATGCATACGCTCACGTGCCTCATTCAGTGCTGCTTCTTCGATTCAACGACCTTGGCGATCCCCTCACCTGCTTTGACGGCCATTTTGGCAGTACGACCAACGGGTAGGATGTTCATGGCGACTCTAGCGACGGCCTTGATCCCGTTGCCGATCTTCCTGAAAAAACCTTTGATCTTCTCCCCGATCTTGGAGCGGTCGTCAACCTCCACGTACTCGTCCTCCTCGAGCGCCCGTTCGGAGAAGTCCTTCGCAGGAAATCAACACTCAAACAACCGAGTCGTTTACAGAAATGTACCTGCTCCTCCTCATCTAGGAAACGCGCCTCAAGATCACGCCGGTGGAGAACATCGCCGTTCGGAAGCTCGGTCAAATCGAAATCACGTTCCGAGATGTACTCCGTCAAGTCATCGGCAGCAGGGGTACGCTTGTACAAGCGATTCGGGGTTGGCAAGGCGAATATGGGGCAAATGAGAGAAAGAAGAAGGAAGAAGCTGAAGATCTGCATCGTTGGCGGACTAGTGCGGTGTTTGGGATGTTGGGTTGAGTGGAATAGGCGACCAGCGCCGATAGGTGAGCAAGGAGCGTAGAGAGTGGGAGAGAAACCAGCTGCTAAGAGGAAGGTGTCAGTTTGAGTCGTTGTTGTAAGCTGGAATTTCCGTGCCAACACGAAACGCATGCAGCTATCAACCATCTGGGCGCACAGGCCTGGGATAGCACTCACACGAACGGCTCCACGGGAAAGACAGCATCAAGCATGACGAGCGCCATCCTCGGTAAGTCAGCGATGAAGGCGATACATGTCGCGGACGGCATTGTCATGTCGTTCAACCTACCCAGTGGTGTTACAGGTTGAGACATGAAACACAACGACAGAGCGACAGCACCGCATTTCTATCAGGACGAGTCACGCGCCCAGCGTTCCGAGGGAGTTTCGATACCAGTTGACATTGAAGTACATATATATGAACCAGAGCAGGTAGAGACAATCTTTGTCGGGTTAATTCACCAAGGTTGAATGGAAACCAGAGAGGTTGCTTCGTGCTGTGCAATCATCGGTGGAACACATTCCGGATGACTTGGGAATTTGAGAGCCGCGGAACTGCAGATTATACCTGCTTCAGGTATCAATGACTGGAAGTTGAATGCCTGTCGTAGGCATGAAAGATCGCAGTCCAACGTCGAACTCCTCGAATAGATATGGCCGAAATGAAGTGGAGCAACGGCGATGCGAATAGCACATCGTTTTGATCTCTTAAGCTGTCTTGTTCATATACAACTCGCTCGATTTGACTGCCTTGCGTTTCCAGCCAAACCAGTCGTCAGCGAGCTAAGCGCGCCGCGTCTATCATCCGTCCACATGAGGAGGCCGGTGCTCCCCAGCCAGCCTGAAAGCCAGAACAACCGCTCGAGGATGCGATCTGATGGTGCCAGTGCCACATCCCGTGCATAACGACCGGTGCCGCCATAACCTTGCCTGAGAAGGAAGCGTGGTCCGGGACCGTCCGGGTATCCCAGAACACGCGCGCTCTTCGCAGCCGATGCGAAGGTGAACGGCAGAATCTTGCTCCCTTGACGGCCGCGAGCCCTTCCAGAGTCCCAGACGAGGCGAACATCTGCTTGATAGCACTCTCCATCTATCTATTCTTTGCGCCTTTCGTCCAGGAACGCGTACCATTCGGCCCCGACGCGAGCGTCAACCAAGGCACAGAGCAGCACCGTTGAACGTGGACCCTTGTGCGGCTGCGGCTTGGAAGCACGCTTAGTCATCTCGCCTGTTTTCCCTTGGGTTGGGAACCTCCTGCAGCCCCAAGCGATTTCGCTGCCTCATGTCTGCAGCCCTTTTAACCCCAGGACTACGCACTGCCAAACGTCGTCTCACTCGTTTAGCTGCAACCATGGTATGTATCTATTCAACTGAAGTAGTCTACATCACTGATGACTGATCCCTGCTCCAGTCCTTCAACAACCCTAACGAAGTCGTCATCGTCTCCGGTGCCCGTACCCCTGTGGGCAATTTCCAGGGTGCGCTCAAGGGCTTCACTGCACCCCAGCTTGGTGTCATCGCGGTCAAGAAGGCCCTCGAGAAAGCCAAGGTGAATCCCGATTTGGTGGAGGAGCTCTACATGGGGCATGTCATCCAGGCGAACGTCGGCCAGTCTCCTGCTCGCCAGGTGGTGATCGGTGCCGGGCTCCCGCAGAGTACCGAGGCGACAACTGTGAACAAGGTCTGCGCTAGCGGGATGAAAGCCATCACGATGGCTTCCCAAGCTATCCAGCTCGGACACCGGTCCGTCATGATCGCCGGTGGCATGGAGAGCATGAGTCAGTCCCCGTGCGTACCCTCGATTCCCCAGGGGGTTCATTAGGGCTTATCGTATTTACAGGTACTATCTGCCACGTGTCAACCCTACCTTCGGTCATGTTCAGATGAAGGATTCCCTGCTCGTGGATGGACTCTGGGACGTGTACAACGATTTTCACATGGGCCAGGCCGGCGAGAAGGCTGCAAAGGATCATCAAATCTCCCGTGAGATGCAGGACGACCATGCCATCCAGACGTATCGTCGAGCGGAGGAGGCGTGGAAGAAGGATGCGTTCAAGGAGGAGATTGCTCCCATTGAGATTGTTGACAAGAAGGGCAACAAGACTGTTGTTGATGAGGACGAAGCATACAAGGTTGTCAAGTACGAGAAGATCCCCACTCTCAAGCCCGTCTTTGCCAAGGACGGCACCATCACTGCTGCCAATGCCTCGGCATTCAATGACGGCGCTTCCGCTGTTGTGCTTATGTCCACTGGAAAGGCACAGGAACTCGGCGTCAAGCCTCTGGCGAAGATCGTCTCATACGCTGATGCCGCAATCGCCCCGGAGGACTTCCCGATCGCCCCGACCGTTGCCCTTCCCCTGGCCTTGAAGAAGGCCGGCCTGACGAAGGATGATATCTCTTTGTTCGAAATCAACGAGGCATTCAGCGTCGTGGTCCGGGCATGCGAGAAGGTCCTCGGACTCGATCCGGCAAAGGTGAACATCAAGGGCGGCGCGGTTGCGCTCGGGCATGCGATCGGGAATTCTGGCTGCAGGATAGTTATCACCCTGGCTCATTCACTTGAGCCTGGCCAATACGGTGCGGCAGCAGTGTGCAATGGCGTAAGTTGCACCCCGTTTCGTTTTATTTTAGGGTCCTTTACTCAATTTTGCCTTCTAGGGCGGAGGAGCTTCTGCGATCATCATCCAACGGCTTTAGATTATTAGGGTTTGACCTGGGACCTGAGCTGATGCGCTGGAATGCTGGCCGGTGTCATGGATAATTGGACCGTAATCGATATTCATGGCGTTAATGCGTAGGGTCTGGTTGTATGGCCTTATTTGCCTTGACTAGATTAATAAAACCACAATGACTGAGGAGGGATTTTCTTATGTTATGTGGAAAGGAAGCTAAGGGAGTGCTACTGATGGTCCATCAAATCCGGAATAAGAGGGTTGCCGTGTGTTGCCTGACCCCACATGAGACAAGGTGTGGCTGAGTAAACGTGCCTTGTGGGTTTGCTTAAAACCCCCGCAACTAACGGCCTTAATTAGGCGGAACATTTCCTTTGGCCCAAACTAGTTCCGTTTTCTGTTCCCGTCCAATACTGTCCCCTCCCTTCCCTTTTCATTTCCCCATCCTCTCCTTCACCTCGACGTCCATCTTCCTCACTCTTACCTCACCTCCCGCTGCTCTACCTCCTCTCTCTCACCTCCCTCGCTCCCTCCTCGCGCTCAGGCATCTCTCATTTGCCACCTCTGTATATCTACAGATCCAACACTCTCTTACTCTCACACTCCTTCGTGCGAACGAGCCCCCCAAGCTTCTACACAGAAGACCCTCCCGCGTCCACTGTCTCACCCTCTCCCGCTCACGCATCACCTCTAACTTCTAGCAAAAATGCAGCCCACTACGCTTTTTGCCATGGCACTCTTGGCCGCCTCGGCCGTCGTCGCCCTTGACTCGTCCCTCCACGACGCAGGCGCGGTGGCAATGCCCCACCGCCGCCACCACGCTAAGATTGAGGCTCGCTCGAAGTGCAAGTCGAAGAACAAGTCGTCTTCCAGCTCGAGCAGCTCCAGCTCTTCCTCCTCCACCTGGACCGATCCCACGACCACGAGCAGCGCAGACAACTCACAGCCCACGGATAACGGCAACGACGGTGGCTCTGATAACTCTGGCTCGGGCTCTAACAACGGTGGCAGCTCAAACGTCGCTGCCAATCCCGGCAGCCAGTCTTCGTCTAGTGCTCTTGCTGGTATTAGCGCCTTCCTCGGCACAAACAACGGTGGCATCGGATGTAGGGCGCCTTTTATTCTTCGTATACAAATGCTGATGTCATCCCAGCTTGGTTCCGCACTGACTCTTCTTCCGATTCCACAAACGGTCGCTCCTGGTGCCAGCTGAACTACCAAGACGACTGGATGGGCACCGCTATCCCCGTCGGCACAATGATTGACTCTTTTGGTGGTGATGCCCAGGCAGCCATGAACGCTTACTGCGGTCTGGAGATCCAAGCTTACAACCCCGCCAACGGCAACACCGTCACGATGTATGTCGTGGACGGTTTCGATGAAGCGTGGGTCCTCACCCCCTCGTCCATGGATTTAACCATCGCCGCCTTTACCGCCCTCTATGGCAGCTTTGACGATAACAAGGACACCGTTGTCCAGAACATGAGCTGGTGGTTCACCGGAAAGTTCGTCCCCGTTCACCTTTTGTTCTCAGCGTCTTCTAACTTTCTTCCTCTGCAGCAAGAACCCCGCTTATGAGTATGATGCTTCCGGCTGAACGTCGACACCTTGATGTACAAGGTCGCTCCTCGCCGGTCGGTAGTGTGACCTATACCTGTCTGTATCTGAAATGTTTTCCCCTCATTCTTTTTTGCCGCATCTTGGAGTTGATTCTCTCACGGGTTCTGTATCTGGATATACATGACCTAACGCAAGTCGCACTCTACGTCGCATTACTCGTCTTTTTCTTTTACAATCATGATACGGGCTAGCTTGATGCCAGCAGTTTGGTCGAAAAGTTACAATCAGTCTGCAATTTGATTGTTGTGTGTACAGCGCTTTTGCTTAACGCCTCAGTCCGTCCCTTTCGGGAGTACACGCGAACAACATTGTGCCGAGAGTGAAAACGCGTTCGAGGGCTAAGGGCGTGTGGACTGTTGTTATGACGACCAAACATCGCGAAAGGAGGAGTCAAACACAGGCCTAGGATGATCACGTTCGGAACCTCGGCCGTCGCGAAGGGGACGCGACGGGGCTGGCTGATTCGCGGAACCAAGTCGGAAGCGGACAGTCACGAGGAGGCGGTTCCGTGTGGGCCGAGAGTGGCGGTGCCGGTAAAAGCGGCGTTCGGCTCGGTGATGAGTTTCCCCGGCGTTATCTTACTTCCTGCCAGTTCAGGGAACAGGGGACCTTGATGGTGTCCGCTGCTTATCCGTCCGGAATTGAAGGCCGACTATCTTACTGGTTGACTGCGTTGGGCGTGTGAAAAGCCTGGATTACACCGGCGTTTGATTGGGCTAGTTTGGAACCCAGGCTAGGGCGGCTTGAGTACTAGTACCTGCTCTGCGGACTGAGATCCCGAGTTCGTGTGATCAACCTGGGATTGCACCTCCTGCTTGACTTGACTGCGAGTGATCTTTTGTCGAGTAACATCAATACTCGCAGGCTCGATCTACCATGGCGTCCTCTGCCGTCGACCTGACATCGCTCGCTGAGGCATGCTTCACCTACCCTTCGATCGATAACCACACCCATAACCTGCTCCTCCCGAAATGCGCTATGGACCCCCCGTTGCATATCATGACCACCGAAGCTCTAGGACCACCACTGGACGATGTCTGGTGGGGGATGTCCCATATCCGTGCGCGGAACATGCTTTGCGAGGTGTATGGTCTCCCGGCAGGAAGCACCTGGGAGGAGATGCTCAAGGCTCGCCAGGCGATGGATTACGAGGAGATGTGCAAGCTCAATTTTGGAAAGATTGGAATACAGTGCCTTCTGCTCGATGATGGACTGAATAACCTTGCGGAGACGTGTTATGATTATAAGTGGCATGATAGGCTCACTACCAGTCCGACGAAGCGTATTGTTCGCATCGAGGTGTGCGCACAGGTCTGTATCGTCTCCTCTTAGAACAGTGTACACGGAAACTAAATAATCCCAGGATATTATCATGTCCATTCTGCGCAAGGCGGGACGCAACGCATCCCAGATAGAACTCCTTCCAGAAATCAAAACGCAGATCGAGGCATTCATCCGCACCTGCGTCGCCGATCCCGAAGTAGTGGGATTCAAGAGCATCGCTGCCTATCGCACCGGACTGGATATCGTCCCCTGGCCAGAGGCGGAGGGGGACCCAGTGTGCGGGCTTGAGGGCTTGATGAAGCAGTGGGTGGCTGGAGGAACCCTGAGGATTTCGAGAAAGGAGAAGAGGTTCGAGGATTGGTTGATCAGGACGCTGCTCAGGCTGATCGGGGACAAACCCTGTACGTCGTTTCGCGTGCCTGGATCTCGGCAGGCAGTGCTGATACGATGTGCAGTGCAGTTCCATACCGGGCTGGGAGACACGCATATGCGGTTGTTCAAGGGTGACCCTGCGCACCTGCAGGAACTTTGTGAGGAGTTCCCCGACGCAAGAATCGTGCTTCTTCACTCGGCGTACCCGTACACTCGCCAGGCAGGATATCTCGCGACATGCTTCAAGAATGTCTACTGTATGCTCACATGCTCTATCATGGATGTATCAGACTGACCCATTCATAGTGGATTTTGGCGAGGTCTTCCCCCAGGTTGCGGCGCACGGACAACGCGACATCATCCGACAAATGATGGAAATCACGCCTATGACGAAACTTCTCTGGTCTACCGACGCGCACCATCATCCCGAGTGCTACTATGTCTCGACGCGCCAATCACGAGAGGCGCTCTTTGAGGTGATCTCCGAGTTTGTGCAGCGCGGCGAGCTCAGCATTGCCGAAGCGGTGGATGGTGTGCAGAAGATGCTCTTCCATAACTCCAATAAAGCGTACAACCTCGGGCTGAAACCGATTCCGACTGGCCTGCCTATCCCGCCCTCTGTTGGACTCTCCCCTAGTCTAGACACCGCCCGCACTTTCCTCAAGCTGGATGAGCTAGTTGCTGCAGGCATCAAGTATGTCCGCGTCTCCTGGCTTGACTATACCAACAATTTCCGCTTCCGCCTCATGCCAACATCCCGGTTCATCCATGTTGCCCGCTCTTCCAATCCCGGAATTAACCTGACCATGGCGACTCTCGGACTCGGGCAGACGGACATGATGGCCCGTGGGTTCTCGGGCATCGGCGAGCACCTATACAAGTTCGATCTGAGCACACTGCGCCGCCTGCCTGAGGAGATCGCCAAGGACCACGCGAGCGTCATGGGCTGGTTCGAGTCCAAGGATCGGAGTATCGAGACGCGTAACCCTCTCTGTCCCCGGTCGTTCGTGGAGCGTTTTGAGAAAGAAGCGAAGGAGAAGTTCGGCGCGACAATGCTCGTCGGGTTCGAAACAGAGTTCATCCTACTCGAGAATATTGACCCGCCCAGCCCGGCGCAAATCGGCGGTTGGTCCACCAGCTTGAAGCACAGGACGGGCAGTGTCGCGGCCGCGTGCTGCGAGGAGATTGCCAGCACCATCCAGGCAGCGGGTATCGAGTTGCAGATGTTCCATGCTGAGAGCGGGCCAGGACAGTATGAGATCGTCACTGGCCCGTTACCACCGTTGGCGGCGTGCGACGCGATCGTACTCACGAGGGATATCATGTACCATGTTGCGGCCAAGTATGGCCTCAAGGCGACGCTGGTCCCCAAGCCTTTCCTCAAACCGAAGGCAGATTACGGTGAGTCAAGGATATCGACTTTAGAGGATATTTGTCTGATCTGCTTGATAGCTGCCTCTGCAACGCATGCCCACCTCTCTATCAAGTCTGACCCCCCGGCGCCGGGTTCAAATCATCCCGACGTCCCGAACCTTCCAGCGGACTTCGCTTCCTTCATGGCCGGCGTCCTCGCTCACCTCCCCGCAATTGCATGCTTCACGCTCTCAACACAGCCGTCCTACGCGCGTGTAGTGGACGGCAATTGGTCAGGGGGCACTTGGGTCGTGTGGGGACGTGACAACCGAGAAGCTCCTCTCCGCCTTTGCGGAGGATACAACGGCGCCGGGTTCAATGTTGAGCTCAAGACTCTTGATGGAACCGCCAATCCATATCTCGCTATTGGGGCTGTGATCGCTGCTGGCTTGATGGGCGTGGAGAAGAGGACAACGTTGACGCAAAGGAATGCGCTGGGCATTGTGGACCATATGACTCCAGCAGAAAGGGAGAAGATAGGTGCTAAGTTGCGGATCCCGAGGAGCTGGGAGGTGGCAAGGGAGACTTTGTTGCATGATCGCGAATTCCAGAAGGTAGTAAGCATGGAGGTCGTTAACGCATGGATCTCGGTCAAGGAGGCGGAGAAACTGCTTGCAAGCACGTATGATGACCCGCACAAGTTCTACACTACCTACTATTAGGTATTCTTGTCATTTGGATTCTGGTCTCCAGGGTTGTTCGCTCTACATACACGCCAAGCAATAATGTACTAAATTGTCAAATCGGGTTAGGGGAATTGCCTCACATGGTGGACGTTCGCGGACAGCCGCGGTGTTAGGGGTCCCAGCTGTCCATGAACACCCATCAGACGTGGCCTGTGCTGGACACCACCCATGTGCTACACTTCGGTCTTTAGATACATGATTATATAATTAGAATTATTATTTCTGAGCTTGAAATTTGAAGCCCAGCCCAGGCACGTCATTAATGACAGACCTACCCCGCATCTACACTTGGGTCAACTGCAGGGACTGCCTAGACTAGTGAAGTAAGAGTCCTTGCCATGTAGCAGGCAAGGTCTCAGTAATTATATTTTAGATAATTAATTACCTTCAATTAGCACACTACCAAGCATGGAAATTCCAGCAGCAGCAGCAGGAGGAGGAGGAGGAGGAAGACAAGGAGAGGGGAACTTTGCAGGACTTTTGACACAGAGTTTGTAAAGCAGACAATCAAGTCATATTGATACAGACTATATTGGGCACTAGGCCCATTAATACACTTCCAGTCCTTGAAATTGATTGTGATGAAGGATATTGTGCTCAGGAGAACATTGCCAGACAGAGAGAGAAGCAAAAGCAGAGAGAGACATCCCATCAACCAAAGTCAATGCTGTGGGATAAACCTAACTAAAGAGACCTACTAGGTAGTCAGTACCCAGAAAACATGTAAGTTAGCAACACTGACCTTAAAAAGGAATGAAAATCATTCCATTTGGCATACCACATAGATTGGGTATGGCTCTACTCCCTAGCCATTGCCCCCACTCCTCCCAGCCCTCCTCCTGCCCCAACTCCCCCTCCTCCCAATCCCATCCCTCACACTCCAGCTCCTACTCCTCCTACTCCTCCCACTCCCAATACCCTCCCCCACTCCTCCACCACATGCATTTTCTCCAGGATGATTGTGAGAGCATCAAGCATGGGCTTGAGGGCATCCAAAAGGGCAGCAAAATCTTTGACGAATTGGGCAATGGCCTGCAGAGAGGTCCACACCCAAATCATCTTGAATGGGTTAGTACAAATGCAAACAATAATAAATAAACATACCTTAAACATGCTCCATATATAACCCACAGCAGCTCCAATGCTGCTGCAAACTCCTCCATGGCTGGCAGCAAAGACCCAGAAGGCTAGGGTGAGGAACACCCCAAGGGAGGCAGTGGCAACAAGATACGGAGCATTGGGGAGCTCTATGGTGATGGTAATAGACATTTCGATGTCTAAAAAAGGTGAGTAAGACTCATAATAGATGAACCAACTTACTTTGAAATGATTACTCAAAATTCTTCTTTGGACCCTCCTAGGGGGGTCTAATTTGCTTCAGTTGTTGGTGGGCAATGTTGTGGTTGAGGAGGAGGAGGAAAGACAAGCAAACAAAAGAGTTCAAGTGGCTGCAAAAGCCAGGTAAGTAAAGTTCTTTGGAATGAAATCAAGCTCACCATTTGTTGCAGAGATAATCTCTAAAGGTTGATAATGCATTGTTAGTGTCATAAGTATTGCGGCCTATACAATAACTTACCTAATCAGGCTTCAGCAGTCTGCCCTGCACCACTCTGTTGAAGTTCAAAAAGTTCTTTGACCCTCCTAGGGGGGGTTGAATGAGCTTGAGCTTTGTCACAGGGTTCCTGGTGATTTTGAGGAAGCAGCAGAGCACTGGGGAGAAGAATGGCTGCGAAAAAATGAGTAAGTCATTGACACATTAGACGGTGTCAACTTACCCTTGATTGGCACGCGTGAGAGATGCAATGGACTTGATGGATTTGGAGGGTGAAGTGATATTGGAGGATACATTTGGATGACCAGACCTTCCCAGGAAGGTCTAGAGCAAACCTGTCTGTACCAATCACTTGTCCAAGTTCATGAGTGCACATGAGATTCAGAGCACAACAATGAATTAGCTAACTAATAGTACCATGTTTTTTGGGTGTTTGTAATTAGTATAGTATTATATTACCTCCACAAGTAATTAGTGAATGTAGGATCAATGTTTGAAATTAAAACTTACAGAGTGAGAAAAAAGCTGCCTATTCACCCAAAGCCTCATTGAGCTTTGTGAGAAGCTGTTCTGAGGCCACAATGCTTCTGTCCATCTCAGACATCTCCTTGACAGGCTCTGACCTTTTCTCAACCACAGCTGCTCCCTGGCACTTCACCATAATGATCTTACAGTGCTCTGGATTAGACCAAGAGTGCACATTGTTGGGGGGAGGGGGAGGAGTGGGTTGGCAAGGAGGGGGAGGAGGAAGGGGAGGGGGAGTGTACTCACCAGATTGAGTGATCCCCCAGAGTGGAGAGAGGGGGCAGTTGAGAACAGGAGGAGCAGGGCAGGTGAACTCCTCCATCCACTGCCTCCACATCTTCTCCACCTTCTCCCAATCCTCATCAGTCCAGCATCTTGATCCAAGCTTGCAAGACATGGGATGCAGTTTGTTCAATGCCATATAGTCAGACACTGAGTCCCATATATAGGGCTCGGTCTCATCTTTGAAGGCCTGGAGCTGCAGTTGCAGGGGCTGGGGCTGGGGCTTTGGCTTGGGCTGCTGGGGCTGGTGCATGGATGGTTGCATGCTGAGCTTCTGCAGACAGTCTGCTATCTCTGATCGCATGGTATCCAGTGCAGCTTGCAGTTGCTGGCCTTGATAGTCGAGGTCAGGGGGCTCTTCTCCTTTGAGGAGATGCCCCCTTCTTTGAGAGTTCCAGCTTTGAACTTCAGATTGGTGATGTTGAGGAGCTTCATGCACATGCAAACTTTGCTGTAGAATCTCTCATGAAGAATGGCAGCCTCAGCAAAGAGCTGATCACCCTGCAGTTGTTCCAGGGCATTGTTGGCCTTCTTCTTAGAGTGCATCTGGGGATTTGTGGTGTTGGCAGATTGCTGCTCCTCACATGTCTTCGCAGAGGGGTGGATCTTGTTCCTCTTCCAAGGGAAAGGAGCCCCCCCTGCAGCGATGTGCTGGTTGTGGATGCATTTGCGCTCCATCTTAATCCAGACCTTGGACTTATTCAAGTCCTTCCAAGGTGAGTTTGCCTTGGGATCTTTCTTGAGGACCTCCTCCCGGAGGAGGGGCTTGAGGATGGAGATGCCATCCAGTTGATATCACTCGATGTATGCATGAGGAATGTTTCCTGGAAGTACACCAGTGTAGTTGAAGAGGGTCGGGAGGTTGGAGGGCAACCAGGGCTTGCGAGAGTGCTGCACAAGGAGCATGTTGCACAGGCCAAGGAGATCTCTCACCTTGGCCTGTGCATGCACTCAGAGGATGTGGGCGTATGCTTGAGGCATGGGCATCAACAGGTTGATTCACTCTTGTGTGAAATCACCTGCCCAAGTCTTCTCCAGTGTCTTGAAGTCGTATAGGCACTGCAGGGGATGGGAAGGGGGAAGGTTGCTGAGTTCAAACACAGAGAGGAGGAGGAGGTGCTGGTGGGTGCCAATGAGCATCTGCGCCCACCCAGCATTGATTATGGTGGGTATGGCATTGTCAAAGAGCTCTTCAAGCTCTTGACTGGCCAGGGATTTCTCCCATACCCCTGGTGTCGAGTAGTACTCGTGACCAAGGGGTATGCCTGCCACATGGTCACAGGGGAGGATGTAGGGGGTCCACATCCTCATGTTGAGGTATGCCCACCAGGTGTTGGCATTCTCAGTGTCAGCAGGGGGACCTTGGCAGTAGACTCAATGGGGGTGGGAGGGGTCAAAGGGCTGGGCATACATGGTGTAGTTGAGTTTGCTTCGTGCCCAGAGGCACCTCAAGTACACCTGCGGATTGAAGGCAATCTTGCCATCTCCCTCTCCATGGTACAACTGGCAAAATCAAGTCTTGAAGTTGTTCCACCAAGCGCAACATTCCTTGTCTGACATGGAGTCAAACTGCTTAGTGGAACCTTTGAAGAGTCTTCAGTTGCAGTACTTGACCAAAAACTGACTCTTTGGGTTCCATTTGGCTTCTTGCTTGAGAAGGCTAGGCTCCGCAGTGTAATGCATGAGATAGTGCTTCTCAAGCTTGAAGATCAAAATATGGGATTTGCCCATAAAGTTTGCAGGGTGTTTGCCTAGATAGTTAGTTAGTTTCCTGATTGATTCAAGGAAACAAAGTAGATCAAGACTGACCGGAAGGTGTATCCTCCACCCTCACAGGCTCTGGGAACCCTCTTGGCAACTTGGGGGCATATTCAGAGGGGAGACAGGGCGTGTGGTGAAGGCCACTCTCATAAGTCACAAAGGGCATCTATGACATGTCAGCAAGTGAATGCCTGTACCATTAGCATGTACACTTACATGTGTGAATGAAATCAATAGTCTGTCTTCTCCAGGGCTTGAAGTACTTTCCCTCATCACAGTTAGCTCCCAACACAGGAGAACACTGTGGAAGGGGCAGGGAGTGAATACTCAGGTGCCAGTGACAGCCACCTTTGTATGAGCTCACCTCAATACCTCTATCCGCTGACCCTCCTGGGAGGGTCCTGCCAAATGAGGTAGCTGAGGGAGAGGGGCATTGCTGAGGCCCACAGTGAGGGACAAGAAGTGGAGGTTGGTGAGGAGGAGGTCAACAGTGGTAGTGTGCCAGAAGGGACTGAGCAGTTTTGGCCTTTGCTTGGTGCAGACTAAGTGTCCCTGAGAGGCTGTGTTACATTAACGAGCTTCCTGATTGGATAAGCTCACATCCACAAGGTGGCAGTGTAGTTTTAATACATTAACTCCAAGTCACATGTCTGCAAAGCAGCCTAAGTGGCCTCCCCCTGTCAACCCATTTTATTCTCTCTTCATCATCCCCCTCTCCCTCCTCACCATCACTGCTGCTGCTGCCCCCACCACCACCAACACCACCACCACCACCAACACCACCACCACCACCACCACCACCACCACACCTCCCTTTCTCTCCTCTCCCCCTCCCCTCCTCCCTCCTCCCCTTCAAGCCCTGTCCTCCTAAGGAGGTTACCAGGTTTGGAGCTCGACAGTGGCTGTCATTGGCACCTAAGAGCAAGGAGCAAGGAGCAGATCTCAACGCCTGCAAGCCCAGTGAGATCCCAGTATCCATCTCCCTCATACCCTCACCATCTCTGCACACGTACAACATCCCTTCTCCCTCATCACCTTTGCTGCCAGAGGCCATAAAAGGCACCGAAAGCTCTTCCCTTTGGCTCCAGTGATGGATCAGGCATTGGGACATCCCCTCTCCTCCTTTTTTTTTTTTTGCCAAACTGGATTCAATCGATGACCCCACGGTTATCCCACCAGGCTTGAATCTCTTCCTCCACCTCCGTATCCCCACCATTGAACTCTTGCCTACCAAGGGCAAACTTAACCAGGCAACATGACAAGTGAAGGTGGCCACACTGGAATCAGATCTGGTGGACCATTGGTTTACCTGCCTAGAATGTCTCATATTCTTGCGAGAATGGCTGATCTATGCACATGAAGTCAGCTTTCAGTCAGGCCTGGAGCTTTGTGATGCAAGCAAATCCGCCGACTCACATGATAATCTTCAATGCCAACTCCAGGCAAGCTGGGGAGACCAGATTGCTCTCCCTCTACATATCAATATTTTTGCCTCTGCTGTCTCTCTCCTTGCTGCATTCTTGTATTGCAGAGGGGTTTCCCTTCTGTTGAATGTTTGCCAGGATGCCATTGATGCCTGGCTTGCATCTCTGCCTCACAAAGACTGGAGACCACAAGTCCTCCTTGGGGACTGGGACTACACAGCAGTCCTTCAGCCTGCACCCTCTGTCTCCCCAGCTTGCCAACTGCAATCCTTCATTTGGCCTCCTTGGCTTCCCGAACACATCCTCCAGCAACTCGGCCCACTGACGTTTGACCGTGCCTTTGAGCATCCGGAGTTGTTCTTCAGCCAAGGGTACTCACCCAGTGCTGAGAAACTGCAGGTGGTTCAAGCCAAACGGAATCACTATGAGGTAGCAAGGGCAAACACACAATGAGTGCAAGGGCTAACCTTAGCCATCCAAGGTGTCTTGGCCCCCCTCCAATCCACTCAGGCACCAACACCTCCTCTTCCTCAAGCACCATCTTCCCCCGAAGCCCTGTCTCGCCCCCCTTCTTCTCCTCGAATGCGTTCTCCTCCTCCCCCTCCTCGTTCACCCACTCCCCCTCTCCCTCCTCATCCCCCTCCTCAATCTCCCTCACCTGCTCCCCCTCCCCCCCCAGGCATGCACACCCCTTCCCCCTCCTGTTCCCACATATCAGAAGAGGCCTGAGAGATGTGCAGAGTCTCCTCATTGTCGAAGGGAGATGGATTGTGGATGCTCATGGAGTCCCTGGCAATCTTATCACCCTGTGGAACCGGCAGTCCCTCAGACACCTGCTCACACACCTCCTCATGCAGTGGCACCTGTCCAAGCTCATTCAGCTGGGAGGGGATGGGGATTGGCATCTGAAACTGCTCCCGCTTCAGCAGATCAAGCAGGGTGGGGCTGGGGAGCTGTCAGGGCACCAGCTCATTGCTTGGTCAAGAGACATGACTAAGCCTTTATGACATGGAAGTAGCTGGTATACCTTGGCATGTGCTGGAACCTGCTGGAAGGATTGGATGGTCAGGTGACCTGCTGTGCATGGCTGTGCATGACCTCTTATGACCTCATCCTTGGTCATATGACCTGATCACCTGACTAGGCTGAGTAAGCAAGATGTTCTAGCAGGTCCACCACA